GAAATGTGTTTTAGTTTTAAAATGGACTTCCTCTTTTCAAACAGCAGAGGGCGCCAGACATTCAGGATGATCCTGTTGTTGTCATGGTTTCAGGGTTTCTGGGTAAAATACTGGATTCGATTGGTAGAGAGAGAAGGGAGTAAACTTCAGATGTTTTCTACCTGTGAAAATCGACCTGAAAAAGTGACTCCATGTGGAAAAAGACGAATTAGCTGCAGATCTTCTTTTTCCTCATATGCAGAAAGTTTGGATAAATTTTGCATTTTTGTAACATTATACAGGGAGAGGACAAATATCTGTCAGTTCTCATGAAGTTGGGCAACATCAGGTCTTCACAATGCACCAGACGATGTCATGTTTCACAGATGTTTTACAATCCCGCCTGGTATTTTTGGAGAAACATGGCGACTCATCAGGGAGGGTTTTGTTCTCCGCCTCCCCTCGGACACCAGCTCCCAGCATCTCCATCCAACTTTCCATAACGACCCATTCATCATCATCATCATCATCATCATCATCATCATCATCATCATCATCATCATCATCATCATCTTGTCGTTTTAATGCAGTGCTTCTCAAATAGTGGGGCGGGCCCCCTTTGGGGAGCGCGGTGCGATACCTGGGGGGGCGTGTGATCCTGGGGAACAGGCTTTTTTTTGGCAGTACTAGTATAAAGTGTAATTGCGCACAGTAGGCGGCAGTGGCGCTCTCATTGTTACTTCTGTCACGTTTGCGACAGTGCAACATTTTACGACTTACAAGACAACAGGTTTGCCTTGGTTAGCAGTGTTAAGTCAACCAAAAGCTCCGACTGCGTTCTGTCTCTGGCCTCCGTTATTCAACAACCCCCAACATGAAAAAGTTTTTCACAGGGATGAAAAGAAAAGCGGAGAGAGACAAAGATAATGAGACAACAGAAAGTCAACCGAAAGCTAAGAAGAGGAAATACGACGAATCTTATTTAGCGCTTGGCTTCACTGTGACTACAGTTGGAGAAGAGGAAAGACCGGTGTGTTTGCTGTGTCTAAAAATGCTCGCAGCGGACAGCATGAAGCCAAATAAATTAGCGCGTCACTTAAATACGTTACATCCCAATCACGCCGATAAGCCGCTAGAGTTTTTTCAGCGAAAAAAATGTTAATAAGGAAAAAATGTTATGCAGAGATGGATAGTCACGGTGGGAAATGGGGGGCGCGAATAGTTTTCTTCTTGCTAGGGGGGCGTAACGGAAAATAATTGAGAAGCACTGCTTTAATGACAGTGTTGTTTACAAGGCCTTTCATCCGGCTCCAGCAAAAACATGCGACCTGCGTCTGTTTTCCTGGAATCAAACGGGCTTCAGTCCAGAACCCGCTGGCTGCAGCAGGTGCTCAGATTTTAGACCCAGTCTGTAGCACAAACTCTGAGGTTGATGCTAACGAGTCTGAATGGCAGCGTTAATACTAGAATAATCCATGCAGTTCAGGTTACTTTGGCTTAAGCTTCTGTGTTACATTACATGGGCATGTCTCCTGCTCTCTTGTGTAACAATGACCAACAGGTCATTCCTTTTATATCCTAAAACTGGCTTTCATGAAACTCTATCAACACACCATGCTAAACCATAACAATGATGACTTTTTAATTATGTCATAATTTATTTTTCCTCTCTGTTTGACAATAAATCAATTCCCTGCTGAATAACAATTCTATTCATTTCAAATAAAAATTAGACAGCAATGAATTGTTGTGGTTTCTCATTTTATTGAAGTTTTTTGAAGAGTTGTTTAGATCCTGATGACTGTGGTCAGGAAGGATCTCCTGTAGCAGTCTGTGTTACAGCAGTACTGAAGAATCTTCTGACTGAAGACATTGTTGTTTTATGTAGAAACACGCCTACAGAAGACAACACCTCAAACACAAAAGAATCAGATATCACGGGGGAGAATTATGGTTCTGATCCATTTTTGGGAACAACTTCCAGACGCAAAGTTCATCAGTTTCAGACTTTAAATTCATTTCACCAAATGGAGACAAAAATGGAGGAGTCAGATTTTAGTGGCTGGAGCATTTCATGTCATTTCTCCTCCAGAGTCTTTAGCATTAGACTCTGGAGTTTGTTTTGGTTGTATTTACCCAGAATGCCTTGCATTGTTGTCCACTTCCTGCTTTTGGAGCGGTCTCCGGTTGGCGATCACATGTGCATTCAAAACTGAACCAGAGTTCACTTCAACCGAACCCAGACAGAAATCTTTAAACAAAGTTTGCTGTTTTGGGTCATATCAGAGTTTGAATGCATATTCACAAACAAACTGGATTTTTACAAAAACGAGCCAAAAATGGCTGGTTTAATCCTGTGCCAAGATCACTTTTTATGGGAAATTATTAATGCCAGCAATTTCTGTATCAATGGATGCCTGCAGGAAAGAGGAACAGCTTCACAGAGAAACACAATGTTCATTCAGAAGAACCAGGGCCAGTTCTCTTTCTGTTTTATCTGTCTCTCTGTCCCAGAAGTGATAAAACTACCAGCAGAGCACTCTGAAAAATGAGCTACACCACAAGGCTATTCACAAAGTGTTTAATAAATTGTTAATGTGAAACACAAGGAAGCAGAAGATGCCTGTCGCTCCATGAAGAAACATGGAAAATGTCCTGGAAATGCATGAATATCCATGTAGTATTTATTTACCTGTTAATTTAGACAGAATAAAACTGAAGCGAGAATGACCCCAGATGATAAAGTCTGCTTCAAATCATTTCAACACTGTGGCTTGTCTCCTTTCTTTGCAAAGCAGAAAGCAGTTATATGATTTCATCATAACCAAGAGCAACAAATTAAAAGCAATGTGCTTCATTTTATGGCTTTCTGCTGCAGAAAAGGGTGAATGGGAAGAAAATGAAGCAGTAACATTAATTCTTCAAAGCACTTTTATGACCCTTTTAAACGACTGAATGGTAAATAGTAGGAAGACCGAATCTATTAAACATCTTCTCAGTTCAGACTGAGGTTTGTTTGACCTTCCAGCAGGTCAAACACTAAACATTCAGCAAATGTTTAAATGAATTCAAATGCATGTAAAGGCCAGATCAAAATCCAACTGGAAATCTGTGAAAGGCTTAAAAAAGTCTTTCGTTCTTCACTAAATCTGATCAAAACGTGATCATTTTGTAAAAAGAAAACTGGTATAAATTTCAGTCAAAATGTATAAAGCTCAGTTAAACTCTCCATCAGAGAGTTAGAGGTCAGAGGTTATTTATGAGTGAAGGCCTCATTGTGTTTAATTAATGTGCTTGGTACCTCCAAGTCACACAGTCTCCAGCATGACGCAACAGTTTGGTTTGATGAAATGGAAGTGACCTCACATGCTCCTCCTCATTCATTGTCCAAATAACATGAAACCCATCAGATTACTGCTGCTATGAGCTGCTTCCATGTGTTTCTAACGGAATTAAGGTCACGGACGGCTTCTGCTCTGTTACTCGCTCTAACGCTGAGAGTGACGTCATTCATACATATAAAATTCGCATCATTGGCAAAGTTCCAGGGAGCGACGATAGAAAACTCCCTTAAACTGGAGCCAATCACAGAGCTGCTGTCATCACACCCAGCCTTTATTCCTGTCAGCCGCTGAGTCAAGCTGAACCAATCAGGTCATGGCAGACCGGAAGTAGTACGGAGCAGAGATTTTATTTGCATATTTGACGATGCATTAATGAGCTTCAGCCATCCTGAGGTAAGCTGGGTACAACAGGAAGTAACGTCACAGCAGACAGGAACTGACCTGGAGGAACTTCATGTCCCTGGAGACTCCTAGGGATGGATGGATGGATGGATGGATGGATGGATGGATGGATGATGGATGGATGGATGATGGATGGATGGATGGATGGATGGATGGATGGATGATGGATGGATGGATGGATGGATGGATGGATGATGGATGGATGGATGATGGATGGATGGATGGATGGATGGATGGATGGGGTGGCACTTGCCACCCCAACAGAGCCTTGTCACCCCTAGTGCCACCCCACTGGAAATTGTAATTTTAAAATATAATACTTATGAGATCGGCAAAGATTTGCCAGGAAAACTGTAATTTCAGACTGTCCCTGAAGGCAGCCCGTTTCCCGACGCTGTTCATTGGTTAAACTGACATGTGGGTCCTGCTTGATCCAAAACACATCAACGGCTTTAGAGTTACACCGTCTAGGAGTTTTGCAGGTATTTCCAACATTTTACCGCTCAGCAGTAACCGCTGTTACCTTCCTAATGAGAGGCGGCACTGGTCATACATTTCTAAAAAGAAAAAAAAAAGATGTGCACCGCTGCATAGTGCCTCGTTTATTATATTAGCCATGCTAGTGCTGGTAGATCGTGTTTTAGACAGATTCTTTTAACATATGTTTTAGTGACATGCTGCCCTAATGTTTTATATCTCCCAGCTCTTGCTTGAAATGTGTGGTAAGAATATGTGAAAAACCATTAAGTTTTATAATGACTGAAGTGTAAGTAGGCTATGTCAAATGAAAGCTTTGAATTATAACCTAACTAGTTATATTAATTAATTTTGAACGAACGGAAACATTTTTTCCTTTCGTTCAATGGAACGGTCCATTTGTATATGGACCCTCTGATAAAGCCTTGCTCACCCTTTGGCCCCCCTTGGAAAAAAGTCTAGCTCCACCACTGCTTCAAAGTGATAGGAGTAAAACGCTAAATGCAACATTTGAGTCTGTTTAACTAGTGTCTCACTCTAAAATGGTATAGATGGACGCAGCCATTTACCTTCCGGAAATGGCTGCGTAGTGACGGCCACCTTTACAGACGTCGTTGTTCTCCAGTTGACGCCTTTTCCGCTGCTCAGCCTCGCGCAGTGAATCACAGCGACTGGCCGCTGAAGGTTCGAGGTTCTGGACTGACTGGACCCAGCAGTGGAGCTGCGACAGAAACCAGCCGCTTTCCTGACCGCCGCGCTTCCCTGAAGCAACCGCTGCCGTCAGAAGACGAAACAGAAATGGACGAAAAGGCGTTCACTCAGGAGGTCGACCAGTGGATCGAGCAGCTGGGCGAGTGCAAGCAGCTGTCCGAGGGTCAGGTGAAGACCCTGTGCGAAAAGGTAAAAGCGCGTCAAACCGCACACTGACGAGCAGCATCTCGCCTGCTCTCTCTGCTCCCAGACATTTAAAATGGCGCCTATAGGACGGATTTCAGCGCGTCTTGTTCATTCGGTCATTGGAGCCTGAAACCGTTCAGCCAATTAAACACATTGAAAACAACGACTGCGACTTAATGTGGACAATTAACTTTAACTAGGCCACTGCGAGTTCAAGGATCTTCACATTCAGATGAAGCAGCGGCTGCTAAAATCTCACAATCTCACCAAGTGTTTTGGTCTAGTTCAAGTTCAAATATCTTGGTACACTTACACTAAGAAAACTAACTTAAAGTTTCCCATGAGCAAAATTTAGGAAATTGTTTTAAGTGAATAATTACTTAATGTTTATAAAAGATCATTTCTCTGATAAAAATGTATTATAATGTTTCCACCAAAATTAAGGAAGTTTGACTTAAAAGTGTCTTGTAAGTTTGTTTTGTCATATTTTAAGTGGACTACAATATTTACAACATAAACTAAACCAAAATTACTTGGTAAGATTTTGTTTTTGCAGTGTAGTGTGTTTTTCCAGTTGTTTTTTTATTTCTCTCAGAATCTCAAACTTTTTTAGTGCTGTTTTCTTCAAGTGTTCAACCAAAACGTTTTGTAAATGGATATTTCTTTTATTCTATTAAATCCTAAAATATAATCAGTTTTTATGATGAAGAAGTGACAGGGCAGGTGTATAAGGAGGGAGTTGTTGTGTTGCTGCTGGTTGCTGTAAACTGGTTGCAAAAGTATCTTTTCTTTTACTTGAGTAAAATTTCTGGATTTCTGAATAAAAAAACATGTTTTATTCCCCAGAATCAAACGCCTGCAGTTTCTGTTAAAGTTTCTGAAGGTTTTATTGAAATAAACGGATCTGGAAACATTTTATTTTTCCTGAATTTATCTGAAAGTATTTATACTCTTGATTAATATTGGATACTCTGCCCTCCTCAAACATGCATTAAAGCTGCTGCAATGGAAATAATGGAAACTTTTTGTTTTGATGCTTTCAATGAGAGAAGATTCAGATTTTTCAGGATTTTCCTCCTTTAATTCTCTTCCATTAGATCCGTTTCCTTCAGGAAACAGGAAGTAACTCGTTGCCATGTTTGGTCTGATGAGTGCTGAAGGTTAAATGTCAGTGATGTCATTCATTTATTTTCTGCTTCAGCTCAGACGTCGTATTCTACTGTCATAACAATAAGCAATAAATCAATTAATCTCATGATAAATTAAAACAATCTCAGTCATTTACATTTACAAGTTTATTGATCTTTGAGAATTGGTTCCTTTATTATGCCATGATGACCATTATATTCCTGAAAAAAGATTGCAAAACAGCAATTTCATCATTTATTGCAATAAATTCTGGGGCGACTTATTGTCTGACGATATTTGTTAGCATGACAGACCTGATCCTAAGAGTGAAGCAATTCTTTCTTAACAGCTCATTAACTGTCTTTGGCTGTCAGATGAATTATTGCCTGTATTATTTTCAGAAAAAAAGCTCCCTCCCTTTATGGAGGGATGAAAATGTTCCTCCCTCCATCCATGGTACTGTTGATATTCTCAGCTCAATGTGCCACACAGTTTCCTCCAGCTTCCTCCGGGCTTCTTCCTGTTTCCTCCTGCTTTTTCCAGCTTCCTCTGCTTCCTCCTTCCTTCTGCTTCCTCCTCCTTCTTCCTCCTTCCTCCACTTTCCTCCTCCTTCCTCCAGCTTCTTCCTGTTTCCTCCTGCTTCCTCCTCCTTGCTCCTGTTTCCTCCTGTTTTCCTCCTGTTTCCTCCGTTTCCTCCTGTTCCTCCAACTTCCTCCTGTTTCCTCCTGTTTCCTCCTGTTTCCTCCTCCTTCCTCCTCCTTCCTCCAACTTCCTCCTGTTTCCTCCTGTTCCTCTCCTTCCTCCAACTTCCTCCTGTTTCCTCCTGTTTCCTCCTGTTTCCTCCTGTTTCCTCCTCCTTCCTCCAACTTCCTCCTGTCCTCCTGTTTCCTCCTGTTTCCTCCTCCTCCTCCTTCCTCCAACTTCCTCCTGCTTCCTCCTGTTCCTCTCCTTCCTCCAACTTCCTCCTGTTTCCTGTTTCCTCCTTCCTCCAACCTCCTGTTTCCTCCTCCTTCCTCCAACTTCCTCCTGTTTCCTCCTGCTTCCAAAAAGCAGAGGACAGAATTGATTGTTCTTTGCAGCGCGAGGAGTTCTGTTCAGAGGGCAGAGGGTGTGAGTGAGGACAGCATGGTTCGCTGTGACTCAGTGTGTGTGTGTGTGTGTGTGTGTGTGTGTGTGTGTGTGTGTGTGTGTGTGTGTGTGTGTGTGTGTGTGTGTGTGTGTGCATTCCAGCTCTCTGAGTTTCCTTCGGTTGCCGTTGGGAAGGAATGCTGAAGCGTCGTCGTCGTCGTTCTTCCAGTCGTTCCAGAGTTTTTCTGCCTGCAGCGTCAGAAACAGTTTAGTTACAGAACTGGGAGTTCTGGTTTGTTATTTAATTACTTTGTTTTTTCTCTAAATAGTTTTATTAGAATTTTCTGCTTCACAGACATTACTGACAAAAAAAGAAACAAAATAGATAAAAATGAACATCCAATGCAATCCTTCCTTCTACCCCCCAGAAAAAAGCAACCCAGGACTCACTCTGTCTGCACAAAAAGAAAAGGAAAATTAAATTTCATGTTAGAGTTTGTCAAGATGTAGGAAGGGAAACCAAATATTTGTTATTTAATTACCTTTAATGTAATTTAAAAGAAGACAATCCTCTGCTTGCTGGAAATCAGATTCTTTGTTAGTGAAGTAATAAAGGATCTTCATCGTCTTTGTCTGTTTTCTGTTCAAATTGAAGTTTCATAGTTTGTAGTTTTCAGTCTTGAAATGAATCATCTTGTTTTTAGAAAATCTGTTTCTGTTCTTATGATTCTCCAAATATCAGCGACCAAATGTAAATCCACAGGAGAGTGAATGTTTCTGATCACACCAGGGTTAAAATGACAGTCAAACTGATTCCCACGTTCAGATGGCATGAAAACACGACCTTTGTTCAGGCTTTCACATACTTGGAAATATCTAAAGCTGTAATAAACAATCAATGAGTTCATTTTTATGAGTAAAAATTAGCTTGACAATTCCTGTCGGTATGATTATCGTTTCCCTTTTCTGTCCTGCAACCAAAAACTTTAATAATAAAATCTTTAACTAACTTCTTGAAAGAAAATGTCTAAAATTCCTAATTAGTTTGTTTCTGTTGTTGTTTTATATTTTGTATAAATATTACTTATTGAAATAACTTCTTGGACAATTTAGAAACCAGCAAAAGTTTGTTATGGTGACAGACCTGTGAGGTCAGAATATGCCTTCCACACTTTTCAGATTTGTATTTGGAACACATTCAGAAACCATTTTCCTTCCAGTTCAGTTATATAATAATTTCAGTTACATAAAGTACATGAGTTATTGTAATGGGGTGTGAGGAATTTTTAGTATTGTTGACATATGACATTGCAACAGGTGATGTCACATGATGATGTCACATGATGATGTCACATGATGATGTAATGAGGTGATGGTCGCCTCACCTCATGACGTGTGTTCATGTTCAGTCAGAGGCTTGTTTTCCACTTTGTTAGAAATGAATGAATTTGTTATGAGAAAGGAAACGATGTAAGCGTGACGAAAGCAGCGTGCAACCAAGTCATCCTTTGTGTTTGCCTCGTTATGGCTGTTAATTGGCCGGAGAGCCTGAGCTGGGTTTAACTGGTTTAACTGGTTTAACTGGTTTAATGGGATTACACGGCGGCAGCCGGGAAGTTGCTGACTGTTTCTGAGGCGTCTGACCTGGACAGGTGTGGTGTGAACGTTTACTGAGTCTTATAACATTTGTCTGTGGTTTGTTCTGCAACATTTCCTCAGTGGATCAGACTGAGGGTTAAAGGTCACACTGTTCAGGTTTATGTAATATTTGATCAGAGTAATCTCCTTCAGGTTTTTTTAGCAGATTATTATTGAATTTGCAGGTTATATCATTAATAAATTAAATCTGATGGAGGATGTGATGTGAACTGAGAAACATTTCACAATGTAAGTGTAGCTGAGGCTGCTCTTAATTTGCAGGACGGTTTGAAGGCACTGTTCAGGTTTGTCACTGCTCTCAACCTGGAGTGTCGGTCAGAACACTACTTGGACTGGATTCAGTTCAGGACCAGATGTGGTGCAGCAGGTGGAAGAAGGAAGACATGAGGCAGGAAACCTTTTACTTTCTGTATTCCAAGTCGGGTCACAGATCTTAGTCCAACAACAGTAATTTGCATCAAGGTGTATTTGGTGGGTGTGGGTGAGTGCTTCAGGTATGTGTGTAGGTGTGTGTGTGGTCTCTTGTCACTAACGCACACTTATAAGGCGATCACACATATTCTGCCCCTCTCACGTATTAGCAGTGGCTCTGTTACCCCACCTCCCCCTCTGATATCAGGAACGGTTCTCTTTCTTATGGCGATGTAATGACGTCATCACCGCCCCAACTACGGTATGCCCTAAGTGGCAAAAGTAACGCTGAACAGCACTACGAACAGTAGTAGTTAACAAACTTAGATTATTTAAGGGGTCTTTTGAACAGTAAGAGTTTGATATCAGCCGATCAATAATTACTGATTTTATTGTTTCAAATATCTTAACGCTGCCAAACTGCTGCTGTTACTTAGCAGCTTGTTGATAAGCGACCACCGGAGGCGAGGAGGCGACCCAATTAAACTGAACTGATCAAAACATAATTTAATATTTAAACATAATGAACCAGAATGTAAAGTTATGTTGAAATGTTGGTATTTTATATGATTATAGTCCATATAACCATCATTTTAAAATAACAAAATGGCTGCTGCTGCATTTTAGGCAATAAAATGTTTGTTTGAAATGGAATTGTTTATTTGCTTATTTTTATTCATTTGTAATGTATAAACAGCCTCAAGAGGTCAAATTAAAAATATATATTTTTAATCCAGTTAATCATCAGAATACAAAAAATGATTAAGATAATAAATAGTTGTTTCTGCTTCATGGCTGTTTTTTCATTTCATTGTTTAACTTTGTTAGAAACTGGAGGAAAATAGATCAGTTCCTGAGACACATCGACGTGACCCACTCTTTAATCAGCTTCACTCATCGCTGCTCCACTCTACAATATTCTCACAGACTGATGTGAGCGTGTGCGTACAATGTAGGTCAGGGTTGTGCAGCGCTGCAGGCCTGCTGACCGTCCGGACCCCATCTGGACCCGTCCTGAACCGTCCGGACCCGTCCTGACCCGTCCTGACCCGTCCTGACCCGTCCTGACCCCATCTGGACCCGTCCTGAACCGTCCTGACCCCATCTGGACCCGTCCTGACCCGTCCTGAACCGTCCTGACCCGTCCTGACCCCATCTGGACCCGTCCTGACCCCGTCCTGAACCGTCCTGACCCGTCCTGAACCGTCCTGACCCGTCCTGACCCCATCTGGACCCGTCCTGACCCGTCCTGAACCGTCTTGACCCGTCCTGAACCGTCCTGACCCGTCCGGACCCGTCCTGACCCCGTCCTGAACCGTCCTGACCCGTCCTGAACCGTCCTGACCCGTCCTGACCCCATCTGGACCCGTCCTGACCCCATCTGGACCCGTCCTGACCCCGTCCTGAACCGTCCTGACCCGTCCTGAACCGTCCAGACCCGTCTTGAACCGTCTTGAACCGTCCTGACCCCATCTGGACCCGTCCTGACCCGTCCTGACCCCATCTGGACCCGTCCTGACCCCATCTGGACCCGTCCTGACCCCATCTGGACCCGTCCTGACCCGTCCGTACCCGTCTGGACCCGTCCTGACCCGTCCTGACCCCATCTGGACCCGTCCTGACCCGTCCGTACCCGTCTGGACCCGTCCTGACCCGTCCTGAACCGTCCTGACCCCCTCCGGACCCGTCCTGAACCGTCCTGACCCGTCCTGACCCGTCCTGACCCGTCCGTACCCGTCTGGACCCGTCCGGACCCGTCCTGACCCGTCCTGACCCCATCTGGACCCGTCCTGACCCGTCCTGACCCCCTCCGGACCCGTCCTGAACCGTTCTGACCCGTCTGGACCCGTCCTGAACCGTCCTGAACCGTCCTGACCCGTCCTGACGGGTCCGCCGGCTGCAGGCCAGGGAAAGCTTTGCGTCTCCAGCCGGATCCATGAGAAACATCCAACAAAACAATTACTTTCGAGGAACCAATGGAGACGTTTGTTTGAGCGAATCGGACATGAGCGGTGACCCAAACGCCCGAGTTGTTTCAGTACTCATGGTGCTTGTGGAACGGCTGGTCATAACTAATTTTATTGTACTAAGTGATAATATTGTTGTTTTGAGACAATTATTAATACAGTGGAAATAATGGCTTAGTAATAACGCAAGAACAAATTCTCAAATATCAATAAACTAATTAAAGTCTGATGAACATTAAACTTTTATCATCCAAAAGAGGGAAACAATAATTCATGCAAATGTAAATTATTTAGCTTGCTTTAATTTCTAATAAAAATAATCACCTTTATTTTTCTATAAATTGGAAACGTTGTCCTGGTAACCCAATTAAATGTAAAGCTTTAAGGAGGTTGTGTGTATTTAAAGCATGAATGATTTTATTTTCTGTCTGGCTCTGTGAGGCGGGCGGCAGCAGCTGAGTCATCACTGCAGCAGGAATAAATTACCAATATCAGCAACGGCCTGAAAATAATTTATTGTTCCATCAACGAATTAGATGTCTCTGTTTTTAATGGACACATTCTGCAGAAATACTTTAGACTTTTCTATACATTTTAGAAATGCATTAAAAATGCAAAAAATTCAAATAGTTTTGGAAAGAGAAAAAATACAGAGCTGTCCTTTAGTTATCGCTCCATCATTTGTTGACTAATTTCTGTTTCAAGGATTTCACTGGATTCCAGCAGGTGAAGTTAAAACTGTCACATTAGGTAAAATCATCACATTAAATTTGAGGGCCATAAAAATAAATAAGTAAAAAGACTAAAGTCAAGCAACTAAAGTTTTTTTTTGTTCAAAATGGATTTTATTCATCCTGGATCCGAAGCTCAGAAAGGTTTTTATATGTTTATGGAATGAAAATAAAGAAATCTAGTTTCCAGTTTCCTTTGGTCTCCATTGAGGAAATTTATTCTCGGCTATTAAAACAGGATGTTGATCATTTCCTTTCCAAAAGTTTCATTAAGTTAAATGTGATTTGGGTTCAGCAAAATCGGCTTTTCAGTAAAAGTCTCTGGATAAACGCTGTTCTATTAATCATGAAAAGATCCATATTTGTGTTGTAATGAACATTTTTTATGGGAGAAAGTTATGTTGGTAATAATTTCACCTTAAATGAAATAAAAAGTCTTTGTTTTATACTTCAGGGCTGCACAGAATCTGCCCAAGGGCCACAAAAGGCCCGGGGCCACATGTTGGACTCCCTGTTGTTAATGTTTAAAGTGACTGATTTTCCTCCTGCAGGCGAAGGAGATTCTGACCGAAGAGTCCCACGTGCAGGAGGTGCGCTGCCCAGTGACCGTGTGCGGCGACGTTCACGGCCAGCTCCACGACCTGATGGAGCTGTTCAGGACCGGAGGGAAGTTCCCCGACACCAACTACCTGTTCATGGGCGACTACGTGGACAGAGGATACTACTCCGTAGAAACCATCTCCCTGCTCATAGCTCTTAAGGTGGTCACTCACTGGAGGCTTCTCCTGTGGATTGTGGAGAAACATTGTTGTCTAAAGGATATTTCTTCCTCTTGGCGTCTCAGGTTCGTTTCCGGAGCGAATAACCATCCTGAGGGGAAACCACGAGAGCAGACAGATCACTCAGGTCTACGGTTTCTACGATGAGTGCTTAAGGAAATACGGGAACGCCAACGTGTGGAAGTACTTCACTGACCTGTTCGACTACCTGCCGCTCACCGCGTTAGTCGACTCTCAGGTGAGAGCCGCTGCGTTTTCCCACCTGAGGCACCGGTCGACCCGATTCCGGCTCAGGTTTATAACAGACGTAGCAACTAGTTACAGTTCAATTGTTTTTTCAGAAAATGTACTTTTTACATGAGTATTTTTATGATGAAGCATCTGAACTCTTACTTGAGTGATTTTTTGGCTGCTCTTCCTGCCTCTGGTAACTCATCTAGAGTAAAGATGTTCTGTGTTGCTCTCAGATCTTCTGCCTTCATGGAGGCCTGTCCCCATCCATAGACACCCTAAATGGCCCCTGAACCGCAGTTTGGAGACCCCTGTTTAATTGTTGTTTAAGTTATATTTTGCTCAGATTTATAATTTCAACCTTTCTTGTCGTCCAGCTTGCAGTTTGATCCGGCGCCTCGAAGAGGAGAGCCACACGTAACCCGCCGCACCCCAGACTACTTCCTGTGAACTTTGACCTCTCCTAGCGAGTCCAGGCTCTGTGACTCGGAAGCGATATCGATACGAATGAGGAACAGAAAACTGGGAAAACATCGCGGCATGGCATAACGCTGCGATGCTGGAAACCATGAAACTCCTTATTCTGTGCAGCTGCAGCTGCTGAAGTCCATCAGCTTCAGTTCTGCAGATCAACATGTTTGCACTTTTGTACATTTAAATACATTTATCACATTTGTATAATATGTCTAAAAAATACAGATTATAAATTATGATTTTTTCCCTTCCTGTTTTTTTTTTTGTTTTGTTTTTCTTTTGTAAAAATAAAAATCTAGAGCTTTAAACAAAGTACAGTTTTCTCCTGTAACTTATAAAAAATCCTCATCAACTCACCGACTCCCTTCCAGCTCTGCATCTTAACAAAGCAGTTAGAATAATAAAATGTTTCTGGGTGTCTGACTTGTTTTTTTAAGATGTCAGTGAATCAAACGTAACGGCTTGGCTCAAGGAAAAGTGTTTGGAAATGTTTATTTCTGTAAAATGCATCATTTCAGACGTTTGTTTAGAAGGGCTTGTCGTTTAGCGCCGCCCAGTGGTTCTCCGAGGTGTAACACCACAGGCCCTCAGGAGCATCAGGGTCATTGGACATGGCAAAAGTTTATTGCCACCAAAAATTTTGAGATTAATCTCAAAAATTTTCTTGAGAAAACTTGTAAATTTACAAACTCCAAGTTAAAACTTTGCAAAAAAAATTCAGAAATTTTAATATCCCACATTTTCTAGAAAAACGTGTAAAGTTTTTAAGATTCTAAAATTTCAAACTTTATGAACTCGGAGAATTTTTTTTAGGAAATTCCTGAGTTTTTCCTTGCAAATTTTCTACTCCTGTTCAGAAATGCCCTATTTTTCAAGACAATTTGAGTTCCTTGATGGAAATGTACTTTCTTCTCCATTTACAATGGCCTTCATACACCATTGTACCAAAATGCTAATATTCTGACTTAAATTAGTGAAAGCGAATAAAACTGAATAATCTTACACTTTTATTGTGACACAAAACTTGGAGGAAAATGAAATGTTTCAATAAGTTGCAAAAGTAAATGGAATAAAGTTCAATAATGTTTTTCCAGTCAGACAACTGCAGGTACTTTACAGCCAAACTCACAACGTTACACAGATACGCAAATCAGAAAACGTTTGCACATTAAATTGTACAGAATGTCTTCAGGGTGAGAATGTTGTAGTGACACAACCAAGAACTGGATTTCCTCCAACATGGTGAAAAAAGACGAGAAAAACTGGTCAGAGTTGCTGCTGAGCAACTCCAGAAACTGCAGGACTTTCTGGCTCCAATCTGCTTCACACACAACGCAGAAACGTTTCCTGAAAAGGGAAATCATGCAATCCTGACTCAATAGAAATAAAGAAATACCTGGAGACTCCAAAAGTATGTGGGAAGTGTCATCATCTGATGATTTTTGAATACAATTACCACTGTCAAGCATTTATTTCTTATATGCATAAAAGAGGTTGAGGTGGCTCGGGCATCTGGTCAGGATGGACGGCTCCCTGGTGAGGTGTTTCGGACACGTCCCACCAGGAGGAGACCCAGGACACGCTGGAGGGACTACGTCTGTCGGCTGGCCTGGGAACGCCTCGGGATTCCCCCGGAGGAGCTGGAGGAAGTGGGGGAGAGGGAAGTCTGCCTCCTTTCTGAAGCTGCTACCCCCGCGACCCGACCCGGATAAGCGGCAGAAGATGGATGGATGGATATGCATAAAATCTAATTTTCTAACTCATAGCGTTGTTAGACATTTATTAAATCGACTTGTTTTTTCAGATTGATTAATATGAGTAAAAAAGAAGAAAAGAATCATTTGTTGATATCTTGTAAAATAAACAAATAAATGCAAATAGTGCCAAGTTACAAAATGTACTTTTATGTTTTTGTCATATTGATAGGGCTGGACATTTAAAAGTACATAAGAATAGATTGCTGCCAATTTTCTGCCGTTTTTTTAGTGTCCAAAATGTCTCCAGTTAGAACATCTCTGCTTCAATCTATTATTTTTCCCACATCAGTTTCGTCAATAAAAAACTTCTAACATTTGAACAAAAACTGCAGGTTGTGTCTGAGTGGTGAGTTGTTGATGTTTTTCATTCAGTGGATAGAAAATATAAAATTTGACTGCAGAGCAGAAATATTTCATAAAAAAAATACTCAAGTAAAAGTAAAAGTACTTTTTTTCAGAAAAGCTACTCAAGTAGCCTTAAATCGAGTGTTGCAGTCCAGATCCACAGTAATGATGAATCATGTTGGTGAGGGGGGCCGAAATTAAACCTGCTTTGGGCTGCAAAAAAGCTTGTGCCGGCCCTGCATGGAAAAAATATATAGTGTCTGCAAAATGGAACAGAAATAAAAGTAAACAGGTCATCGCTGTGACCTGGTAAACAGACCTCCTCTTCCTCCTCCTCTTCCTCTCTCCTCTTCCTCCTCCCCAGCAGGTTCAGCCTCAGTCTCACAGCCAAAACAGCCGCCACGCTTGTCGGGTCTTTCTGCGGATCAAATCCACAGCTTGACTTCAGTCCAGTTATTGTCGGTACGTGTCTCTGCGTTGTGTGTTTGTGGTTAAATAGTGAGTCTAACTGCTGTGTGTTTATTCTTATTGTTTTAATAAAAGGCCTCAGTCTGGTGGGCCAGAGGCCTCTCCGACAGGCTAACCAGGCTAACTAGCTGGTTAGCCTGTTGGGACACAATCTGAATATTTATACATGTTATATGTAAAGTCACAGTATAATTCTTGTCCATTTTACGGCGTTAGATGGAAACTGTATCCGATATTTGTCCCGTGTTGATTCGTAACAGGCTAATTGTTCAGCATTTCCGTTGTTTCGCTAATGGACGTTAGCATGACCGGTTGGCTAATAACTGACAACAAAACCCCGCAGTTCAGCTGGAATCACATTTACTCTTGTCCAGTTTTACTGTCACTCACTACAGACGACACGTTCTCAGGTTTGTTAGCAGAAATAGAAAACGGCTCGTTGTCACCGAGCCTTTTAGCAGTTTTAGCTAAAGTTAGCTTGTTTGCTAACCAACGCAAAGCAGTGACGCTAGCTGCATGTTTGGATTATTAATCAGGCAGAACATCAATACGAAAAACAAACTTCAGCATGAAAAACGACAATTGGGTTTAAAAGCTGAAACAAATGAATAAACAATCAAGGAATTTTCAAAAGATGCAAAAGATTGAGCCTGTCAGACATGAACAGGTTCAGCAGCTTAACGCCAGTTTTCTGCTTAATTGGGCTAATTGACTGAAGCTTTTCAGCTTTTAGTTGCTACTTAAAGTAAAATCTGAAACGTTGCAAGATTTTTTATTTTAATTGTCATGAAACTTTCAGCAGTTGAAGTAAATATCACTTTATATACTTTTTTTCAAGTTTGTCATTTATCATGCTTTTATGAGTAAAAACAGCAGAAAACATTAATTAATTAATTGTTTTATAAACAATTAATTAGAAAATATTAATCCCAAAAGAAAATTAAGTTTTATTGTGACTCATTCAAGATTCTGTGAAACAGTATCACTGCTTTTAACTTGTTTTACTTTTTTATACGTGCTAATATGTATTAACTGGTTTTATTCTGTAACCAGGTTGCTGTGTGGTGCAGACTTCTGCCCAGGTCCCTCTTGAAAATGAGATTCAGATTTCAACGGGATTTACCTGGTTAAATAAAGAAAAAAAAAAGAAAAAATTCTTGAGCGTTATTGTAGATGGTGATGGCTGCAGACAGACATGGATCCGTCTGTGTCTTCTGCAGTTTCTGACCAATCAGATCAGGCTGCATTGTCTTAAATCACAGGAGAAACATGATGAACCTCACAGACATGATCCTCCCAGTGCTGCCTGCTTTGTCCAGGTGGGTTTGCTGCAGCAGACGTATGATGCTGTGGGCCAGAGGAGGCTGTTTGGCTGTGAGCCTGTTTCTGGAAAAACAAAAAAAAAGCATTCTCTTAGAATTATATTTGAAATCAAACATTTTTAAATGCATGTTTCTCATGTGACATCACACTTCTGTGACTTTTGTAACTGACAGCCATGTTGCTTTGGAGTTGCTATGACAACCATAAACAAGCCACAAGGTCAGAACTCGCCCGTTCTCTAACTTATAAAGAATTCAGTTCATTACAGCTACTGAGTTCTCCACCTGCCTCTGAAATACTGAGATAAATATCAGTGATGTTCACTGCAGTACTTACTGCTGAACTAGCAACATTATCTTAGCTAGTGCAGCTTTTATCTGCTAGCTGGACAGACATGTTATCAACTGTGTTCACTAGTCAGCAGGTCGGCTGCAGCTTCTCATCGTCTGACGCCTGTTGATCCCGTCAGCAGCCATTTTCTTAATATTTTCTCTTGCATGTCAGTCAGAAGCGTCCACATATTTTCTCTGTGTGGGTCTGGAAGCCGTGGTTCATCTATGCATCGCACTGTTTGCTTGCCAATATGGCGCAGAGCACTTGTGGTTCAGACTTGTGGGAACTGTGTGTTGCTTTAGTCATTTTTTCATGTCAGTGTGTTCACCTTGTTTCAGCACTTTAATCCCAGACACTGTTTGTTTTGATCAGGCTTGAAAAGCAGGTGGACAGATATAAAATCAGCAGATTGTTCTGCAAAATATTTTTGTTTGAAAAATGAGCTTAAAGTGACTTACAGGGAACTCAGACACTTTTCAGTCAAGTTTCAAAATATACCTGGATCTGATTAAGAAAAAAAACCCACATTACTGTGTGCATCTGATGAAACATAATCCATTTAAATTTGAAAATGTAAATGTTATAGATCTTTCAATATTGTTTCTGTTTATGTTGCTAAATGAATGTATAAACCTGATTCTTATTATACTAAATACTTACAATAGTTCAAACTAAATAAAATAAAAAATAAGTGTATTGGCCATTTAAAAGGAAAGTCGGTAAATAAGTGAATTTTTCTTGTTTCAGAAAATGCCCACGATAAAACTCCAGAGCTCTGATGGGGAAATCTTTGAGGTGGATGTTGAGATCGCCAAACAGTCCGTCACCATCAAGACCATGCTAGAAGGTGAAGCATCTAATTTTCTGCTTCTGAAATGATTTTTGCCTTTTAGTGAGTAAAATCATGAATAGTCCTGAACGTAATGGAGATGAATGCTGGTTTCTGTTCCCAGATTTGGGAATGGATGATGAAGGAGACGATGATCCCGTCCCGCTTCCGAATGTGAATGCTGCCATCCTCAAGAAGGTAACACACACGCACACACACACCCCACACACACACACACGCACACACACACGCACACACCACACACACACACACACACACACCGCACACACACACACACACACACACACACACACACACACACACACACACACACACACACACACACACACACACACACACACAGCAGCCTTCCTGTTGGATATTTCAGTAACAGTGTCTGTAACAGGTTTTGTTGGATCTTCTCTGTATTTTTGGTCTCATTCAATCGACATGAACAGTGAAAATATTCCATCCTTAAAGTGTAATCTACCAGATATTACAACCTTTAAAACGGTTAAACATAAATCTGCAGCAGGTTTTGACGGTAACGTTGGTTTCTCCATGATAAAACAGTTCAACTGTGACGATGGAGGACGAAACGCCTGAAGCTCCCAGTTTAGAAAAGCAGTTCCAGCTGATTTCACTGAATGGGTTCATAAACTGGTTTCACATGTTGGCCCAGCTGATTGAAAGCTGACTGACTGACTGCGCTCAGGTTGAGTTCACCTGCTGTTTCCCTGCAGGTGATTCAGTGGTGCACCCATCACAAAGACGACCCCCCTCCCCCTGAGGACGACGAGAACAAGGAGAAGAGGACGGACGACATTCCTGTTTGGGACCAGGAGTTCCTCAAGGTGGACCAAGGCACCTTGTTTGAACTCATCCTGGTAAAATGACTTTTTATAGTGTAAAACTTTAAAACAAAACGCCTGTCTGAACCTTGACCTCTGACCTCTCTGGTACATCCAGAGTTTGTTCACTATGTACGAAGCAGCTACTGCAAACCTGACATTATTTTTCTCTTCTCAGAATAAACTAGAACCAGTTATAACTAGAACCAGTTATAACTAGAACCAGTTATAACTAGAACCAGTTATAACTGGAACCAGTTATATTCTGGTTCTAGTTATAACTTTACTGGTTCCAGTTTATTCAGGAATTTCCTCCCACGTCTTGTTTTGATCCCTTTTGGTCATAAATTATCAAACATTTTTGCTGCTCTGCTTTCAGTGAGGCTGAGATTTGAAAAACTTCAAACTATACTATTGAATGAAATGATCAATATTGGTGGATATTGATAATTCTTGATTAGTTTTTTTGTCTTAAATATCTGAAGTGCAGCCACATCGGTGGTGTGACGTTTTCATTTGCGTGTCAATGAGGACAGATGGTGGATGAGTTGATGTGGGCAGCAGGACGAGTAAACAGGGCCATCATGTGAGAGGAAACCCGAGTCCAGACCCGGTTCTGGTCCCGGTTCTGGTCCCTCCCAGAGAGAAACACGAGCTGATGAACTTTCATAACCACAAACCCTAAGGAGGCTTCATCACTGTAAAGGATATTTAGTGAGGAATAAATCAACTTAATAATTATGTTGATGTCAAACTGGCTGTATGACCTGGAATAAAATCAGTTTTTAGAACCAATATAACACAACGATGTTTAATTAAAACACATTAAAAAGCTTTGATTTATACTGCTAAAAAATGAAACAAAATGTTAAGACCAATAATGCTATTTCAAACTGTAATTTTAATATGTAAAATTATGCATAGATAATTTTGCAGTATAATCTTCAATAAACAGTCAAATAAAATTAAGTTTAAAATAGTTTTAGAGACAAACAGTTGTGGAATATGAAATGTGCTGAATATATTGATGCATTACGTTGTTACTGAGCAGAATATTATGACTACTTGACCTTCTGGAGGAGCTAACTCCAATGCTAATACTAGCTGGCTAGTTAGCTTAGCTCAGTTGGCGACACTAAACTGTGCTTAACAGACACAATGCTCTTGATTGTCATCATGGCAGCTTAGCTTGGGAAGAATATTATATTACCTTATTAACAGTAAATGGAGGCGTGTTTAGTTTCTGTTGAGAGGAATGAGTGAGCCGGACCAGTGCGGGTCTGGTCCCATCCAAGCCCCGCCCATCTGGTCCAAGCCCCGCCCATCTGGTCCAAGCCCCGCCCATCTGGTCCAAGCCCCGCCCATCTGGTCCAGGCCCATCTGGTCCAAGCCCAGCCCACCTTTCAGAACCGCCTCTGCAACCCAAGCTGGGAAAGATGGCGGCATGAAATATTTTTCTTGATTTTATTATTTATTTACTGATTTAATCATTTATTATGTATTTAGAAAATTATATTAAACTTCTTTAAGCTTTTAATTTTTAAATTGCCTGATTTTTATAGGCCATTTGTGTTTAAAGCTTTACTCCTGGCAGAAACGTCCCACTGAGCCTGAGATGAATGTTGGATTTTGCTGTTCTGGTGTGGAACCATTTCATTCCCTCTCCGCCTCGCCTTACGCTGCTGCTCTTTATTTCCTCGTCTCTTTAGGCCGCGAACTACCTGGACATCAAGGCCTCTTAGATGTCACCTGCAAGACAGTGGCCAACATGATCAAAGGCAAAACCCCAGAAGAGATCAGGAAGACTTTCAAACATCAAAAATGATTTCACAGAGGAGGAGGAGGCCCAGGTACTTACTGTTGTGCATTAAAACATAAAATGAGATCATTTGATTCGCTCCAGGCAAAACGAGAGTTCACCTGCCGGTTGTTTTGTGCGCAGGTACGCAAAGAGAACCAGTGGTGTGAAGAAAAATAAAGCGGAGAATCCTGCCAACACTACCACACTGAAAGGATTGTCCCTGCTTACTGGTTGCACTGGCGTTGTTCATACTTGTTAATATTTGACTTTTAGGATATTGACAGCCACTTTGCTCTCTAGTTCCCTTCATTTCTGTATCCCAATAATAGCATGACCATTTAACTTGCCTGTGTGGTGTCATTAATTTAAAGATAAAATGCTTATTACTGTTTTCACACACTCATATTTGTGGATCTACATAAAATATAGTCCTGTTCTCATGGCTTTGTATCCTCGAAGAAGAAAAGAAACGATATCCCTCCTTCCAGATTATCCTGATTTTTAGTTGCTCTAGTTGTCTATTTTTTTTTTTTTTACTGGAGATTATTCTTTTAGGTTCATTGACTTGAATAAAGTTACATTTTTGACAATGGAAAAATGAGGGTGAATGTGATTTTTGCTCCACATTGGCTTTGTTTGAACCTGGAAGGCGCCTCCTTAGTAGGAGAAATGAAGTTGGAAGCGGCTAAATGTTTTTGCGTTTTCGCCTCCATCACAGCGTTGACTCGTCAATTTGTGTATTAAATTGGACATTTTCACCTTAGATGCTGGTTTTTTTTAGCTGGATAAACGCACTGAAGGAGTTAATAAAACCTTTCAAATGAATGTGGCGTCGTCTTTCTGTGTGGAGTCATCGGTCTCAGTTTCTCTAAATATCCTTCAATCATGCAGCTGCTTACCGAGTCAGTAACTGAAGCTTTTGTACATTTACATTTATTTTTCAGCTGTAATATGTTGTGATTACTATATATAAATTTCACTTTTCAATTGAATCACTAAAATGCAACAACCTCTGGTAGTTTAAGATGAAAATGTGCAACAGGAATATCGATGGTTCAGATGATAATAATCAGCTGTTTGGCAGATTAGGATAATAGTTTTCTTCTAAAAGTACAATTAGATAAGATTTGATCCATTATACTGTTTCAGTGGTAGTTCTTCATATTTAAAGTACAGCTAATTCTTTCCATGGTAGTTTAGTTTCTATTGTTTTCAGTTGTGATTTATCTTTTTACAAATCCATCCCTCCAGTGTGGAAGTTCACTTTTTTGGTGCTTAGTTTAAAATTCAGAAATTTGAGTTTGAGAAAAAAAAATGGAATATTTTTTGATTTACAATTATCTCCACTGAAGAAAAAATAAGCCTGCAGCCTTAAACATAAAAAAAAACACTTTTAATAACATCAAACAGACCATACATCAGGGTTTAAAGCATGAAGTACAAAGACATTTTCCAGTTTCTGCCTCCCGCCTGAACGTTCAGACCTTTTAACCACAACAGCGCCACGGCTGGAGAAGGATGGAACAAAAGCTCAGCCTAAACTTAATGCAGTCAGAAGCTGCGAGAAAACAACTGCAAATGGAAACGTAACGTTACAGCTGGAACATGCAAAGACTGAACTCAAAATACAGTTAGAAGGTTTCTGCAGCAATACTGGAGCACAAAAAGACAAAAAAACATGTTGCTTAGAAAAAACTGGAAACTATTTTTTTTTTCAAAAAGACTTTGCCTTTTTATTCCATAAAAACATACAAAAGTTATTTATTATAAAACTTTACAAGACAATGCAATATAATAGTACCCATCGGTCACAGATTAGTTTGCGGAGCTGCAGAGAAAAACAAATTTTAAAGAAACACGACCTTAAAAATAGATTCATACACAAAAAAGTAAAAAACAAAATGTAAAAATGTAACAGGTGAAGCTGGAGAGCAGAAGACTAAAAGTGCTAAAAGAAGTGAGCTGTGTGTCTGCTGGAAACACAAAGATAGGAATATTTTCCCAGGAGTCGGAGGTTCTGCCGGTCAGTCGGGTCCAGAACAGATCATAACATGAAAAGCATTAATAATTCATCTGAAGGTTACAAAGTGAGCACCGACTCTGAGGAGGAACAGTCCGCAACAAAAATGAGCAGAACTCAAACGGTTTCAGCCAAAACAAGAAGATCATGAAAAAATCTTTTCACCTTTTGCCACATTACAATTTATATATTTTTAACAGCAGTGTTTGTGACGGACCAATAAACTGTTCAAATTTCTCTTGAATGCTGCTAAAATGAAAACTTGATAATAATTTAACATAATAATTCATCATATAATCAATAATCATTTGCACCTGTCAGCAGGCTGGTCACAATAATCAATAAATCACATTAAAATGAACTCAATCATCTCCATTTACATAATTGATCATTTTTCTACCAAATACTGGATATTAAGTCTTCAGTCCAATTCTTTTGTTTACATGATGTCATAATTCAATGTATTTGATTCTCTTGTTTGATTTATTTATCTGATGTTCAGGTTGTAAATGGTCTCAAAACAAAGAAAATGATCATTTATTGCAATATTTATTGCAAGTTATTTATTGCAATAACTTCTGGGACAACTTATCGTCCAATAAGTCTGACCTGGAAGTGATCGCTGCCATCTTGGTAGGCGAGCGCATGGCGTCCCAATCACCACAGTGAAGCTTATAGAAACAATCTGAAGAGACTGTCTGCTGATGGGACGGAAAGAAGAAGCTGCCTCTGATCTCTGCGACTAATTAGTGAGCAGGAAGTGTTTCCAGCAGGAAGTGTTTCCAGAAGGAAGTGGTTCCAACAGGAAGTGTTTCCAGAAGGAAGTGGTTCCAACAGGAAGTGTTTCCAGAAGGAACTGGTGCCAGCAGGAAGTGGTTCCAACAGGAAGTGTTTCCAGCAGGAAGTGGTTCCAACAAGAAGTGTTTCCAGCAGGAAGTGTTTCCAGAAGGAACTGGTGCCAGCAGGAAGTGGTTCCAACAGGAAGTGGTTCCAGCAGGAAGTGTTTCCAGCAGGAAGTGTTTCCAGAAGGAAGTGGTTCCAACAGGAAGTGTTTCCAGAAGGAAGTGGTTCCAACAGGAAGTGTTTCCAGCAGGAAGTGGTTCCAGCAGGAAGTGTTTTCCAGCAGGAAGTGGTTCCAGCAGGAAGTGTTTCCAGCAGGAAGTGGTTCCAGCAGGAAGTTTTCCAACATGGAGGAGCTTCATACCACCTTTGTTCAGTTACATTAATGAAGGATGTAAGAACAAGGTTCTGGTGAACAGAGTGAGTCCATGTACGTCTTAGCTGCTAAAAGCTACGTTGGCTAAGCTAATATAGCTAACGTAGTTCAGCAGTAAGTACTACAGTAAATATCACTGATATTCATATTCGTAATACACAGAGGAGGGGAGAGGACTCAAGAAGTTGTAAAGTAACATTTTTATAAGTTAGATAGCAACAAGGCGAGAGCTAATTCTAAGCTTGTGGCTTGTTTGCTGTTGTCATTGCAACTGCCTACCAAGATGGCTGCCTGCTGTGAAGTTCCAGGAAGTCCCATGAGAGCTGTGGATTTATCAGGAATTGTGACGGGCCTCTGAAGCGTTTAGCACAAGGTGAGCCGCTTTAGCGTGTTGTTCTTCTCTTGTCACTACGTGGAAACGGAAACTTTGGAAAATCACGACTGGAGGGTGAAAAGTGAAGGAGGCGACCAGGAGGATCTTGGTTCCTTTGGGGAGGAGGAAAGTAGCGAGGCGGGAGGGCCGCGGCGTCAGTGAGTCTCTGTTAGCACTTTGAGAGAAAGTCCCGCCACCTTGGCGGCGGACAGCGCCGAGGAGCAGAGCGTCTGCTTGCCCGACAGTTTCCAGGGTCGCGGTCGGGACGAGGTGGCAGAGGTCCGCCCGCTTGCCGGCGGGACGCTCCGACGGGAAGCGGGGGTGCGAGCGCGTGTGGGAGGAGCGGCGCGGGGAGGGGGAGGGCGGCGGGGAGCGGCGCGGGGACGGGGCCCCCTGGCGGTAGAGGCGCGCGGGACACGGGGACGGGGGCGAGTCTATGGCACTTAGATCTGAAGAAGATGGGCTGGGGCAGCCTCCTCCTTGAAGGTAGCGAATGCACTTCTTTTTCCTCCTAGGAACAGTCAGAGAGAGTTATCTGTGAATAAAGTGTGGAGACGTCAGCAGGTTCAGTGGAGGCGCAGAATCACAGTGAACACATGGAGACAAAATGAATTTGTGCTTCAAAATGACACCAGACATTCATCAGAGCAAAGAATCAATTAATCACACCACAAATAATTTACAATAATAAATGATCACAAGCTGCTGGTGTTCATGGTAATAATGTACTTCCTGTTTGCAGTAAATAGTTACATTACATTTTACATTAAAATGCCCAATTTCATTACTGTATAACATTTGGTGGATATTACATAATGGGGGAACAAATAAATGAATAAGTCACATAATAAATTTAAAAGCTCAATAATTTTCATTTATATGATTTATGGTCTTTCTGGATGACAAAGTTTTCATTCTGGTGTTTTAAGGATAATTTTGGCTTCATAATTCATTTCATTTCTTGTTTCTGCTGTTTTGATTATTTGTGGATTTGAAAATTTCTTTCAGTTTCAGTTAAATGTTCAGTAGGATTTAAAGTTTATTGCTTTTTTATGATTTGCATTAAAAACAACAAAATATTATGAAATATTTTGGTTTAATTTTTTGTGTTAATTTCTTAGAAAACTTGAAATAAGATTAAAAACTAAGTTAAAAAGTTTTGAAGGAAATAAATTAGCTTGTTTTAAGTCAATGATTCCTTGAAATTGATGAACACGACATTTTCCCTGATATCAGTTAAACAATCTGCAAATGGATCGAAAACATTTTCATCATTATTGACTCAAAACAAGGTGATTTATTTCCCTCAAAAGTTTGTTTTCTGTTAGGTTTTTTTATCTCAAGTTCACTAAATATTAACTAGAAACTAAGAAAAAATACTTGGTAAGATTTTGTGTTTTTTGCAGTTTGCAATAATTTACTGAGCTGTTGGATGATGATTTCAATTCATTGTTAGTATTTAGGATCTGAAGTCGGTGCTTCGCGCCGTCACCTGGTTGTCTGAAGGTTCAGAGGATCACCTGGTGTTTTCCTGCTGCGCTGTGAGGCGTCAGGTTACTGCAGACCTCCATACCATCAAAGCAGCTAACAGGATCCCAAGATCATCACCAGAACATGAAATGAGTCACCAGGTTCAACCGCAAACTGAGGCGCGGCGCCACATTTAGACTGAGAGGAGGAACTCTGCAGTAGAAAGTGATTCTAAATGTCAGAGTTCACCATCAAAAGACGCTCGTCACCACATCGCAGGGATGGAGAAAGTAGAAAGCAGACGGGCATGAGAAGATGCACGCTGCAGGGAGTGTGTGTGTGTGTGTGTGTGTGTGTGTGTGTGTGTGTGTGTGTGTGTGTGTGTGTGTGTGTGTGTGTGTGTGTGTGGAGCTGTGGTGATAAGGCTTAAAACCACATTCAGCCCCCTTTGTTCTCTCAAACTGAAACACACACTCAGGTTTCCATGACGCAATAGCGGGGAAGACAGCGGAGCGAGCGTTACATGTTAGATTCCCGGCTCCTGCAGACTAGCCGTGGACCGCGGTCGACCCCTGCAGCTCCGGTCGGGTGGGTGGGAGCTACTGCCCTCTAGTGGCTCAACCTCCACAAAACTAAAGGAGGTGAAATATCCACTGAAATATCCGCAAGAAAAATCATAAAACTAATATTTAGTAAGAAGCAGAGGAGGCAGAGAATCCACAACTGAACTCAACTAAGACATTTTTACTAAAGTAAAAGTAAAAGGTGTTTGATAATTTGATAAGCTGCACTTTTTACCAGTCATTTAAAATCTAAAGATGACATCATCAGATGGACCAAAATATAAAGTTAAATGGAAATTTTGGTATTTTAAAGATCAAACTGACAATAATTCATATGAGTAACAAAAAATAACAAAATCAGGCAAAATAAAATGTTTCCAGGTTGAAAGAAACGATCTAATTATTGGTGATTATCAGCTCTGGCAAAATAATTTTATGAACTAATAAGAAAACTATTTTTTGCCTGCAGCACACAATCTCACTCGTTTGCATTAAATGCACAAACAATAAATGTCAAAACAAAAACTGGCAAACGAAAAGCTTTTTTATGTTTTTATAGTTTTGTAGATAAAGCAACAGAAACGACCAAAGTTTATTCATTCTTTTGCTGAAGAAAATGAAAATCTGTTAGATTGTGTTTTATTTCCTAGGTTGTTCTACTCTCAGGTCAGACTGGATGTTTGGATCAGCAGGTTAGCGACAGACGACATGCAGAGCTCAGAAAGTGACCGATCCCCGAGGGACAGAGCTGATCATGAAGAAAGTTTCCTTTGTTGTTTTTGGGCCGGGGAGAAATATTCACACCGCAGCCGGTCGTCTTCTGCTCCACTGACAGACCGGCCCACCGGCTCCGGTCCAAACGTCTACAGGTCTAAAAGCATTTAAGACAAAAGGCCAAAATCTGAATCGGCCAAGATCGGAAATTGGTGATCAGCCAAAAAAAACTGCAATCGGTGCATCGATAACCTTCCCTGAGACGGGAAAACCGTTGGGAACAGTTTCTGTCTAAAACAGAGAAATCAAAGCTTAAAGCTTTTAAAAAATATATCCTTTTTCCACTTGTATTTCTTTATTTATTGTGTAGTTTAAGGTTTTAGCTCTGCTACACTGGTAGCCAAGTAACGACATTTCGTTGTCAAGATTCACCTTGTGTTTTTTTTGTACAATGACAATAAAGGAAGTCTAAGTCTAAGTCTTTATCAATATTGTCACCAAAAATCCATAAAAAGCACTTTAAATGTGATAAAAATCAATAACAATTTCTGATGTTTAACAAGCCTCATCTGCTGATTCAGATATTGGCCAATACTGATATTTTTGTCTGGAATTTTGCTAAATATAACAAGAACGTCTCTGAGTTGGTAAGAAGGGCCGGTCCGTCAGTCCGACCTCTAGAACAGATCGGCTTCACATGGAAATATCGGCTGATCACCGAACTCTCAAAATGAAGGAAATTGGTTCCGATAAATCGGTTCCGATAAATCGGCTCCGATAAATTGGTTCCGATAGATTGGTTCCGATAGATCGGTTCCGATAGATCGGTTCCGATAGATCGGTGCGCTCCTAAGAAAAGCAGGAGAAACGATAAGGATGAATGGAGCTGTGATGGCTGATCAGTGAGGGGAAAACCGCCTCCATGGCCGCTCTGTCTCCTCAGAAAGGTGGAATCAGACCCGAGTGACGAGCAGATGGTGGGGCGTAAAACGCTGGGTGGAAGTGGAGGAATGTGGTTTACACACCTGCAGGGACCGCACCAGTCCGTTTGTTGGTTGAGGCCGAAGCGAGCCCGGCATTTCTTAGGAGAGCCCGGGTCTGAGCGCACAATGCACAGCATGCAGGAGAACAGGAGGAAGAGCAAAAAATAGATGTAATAAACAGAGAGGAGCGAAGGAAGAGGGGGAAGTTAGAGGGACACGGAAAAACAAAAAACAGCGATACAGGAGAGAAAAAAGCCAAAACTGTTAGTAGCACAACGCGACAGTGACAAACAGCACAGATGCAGTTAATGTGGCTCAGATTAAACTCTGAGGAAAGCAGCCGTGCAAAAACAAAACAAGACAGAAAAACCTTCATGTTCTGCAGAAAGCAGCAAACAGAAATGCTTTTTCATCTGGATTCATGAGAAACGTCCACACTCCTGGACTTACACTTTCCTAATTCAGGTTGCATGGAAAGCAGAGTGGGTGGGTGGTTTGACGTTAGAGACACTTCCTGCCTCACACCGTGAGCTGCAGCACCAACGCAGCACAACGTTTCTGCTCGTTGTGCCTGCAAAGTTTATGCAGAGATGTTTACCTGTGTTGGAGTCCTGCTGCTTCTCCCCGTTTTCTCCTTTTCTTCTTTCCCTGTGGGACAAACACAAACAAAACATTTATCAAGTTAATTTAGTTTATTTTAGACACAACAGTAACAACATACACTGCAAAAACGCAAAGGATTGCTGAGAAATGTTGGTCTAGCTTCTAGAACACACGACTCCGTTCACTTGAAATAAGACAAAACTAACTTCAGATCACTTTTCAGCAAACGAGTTTTTTTTTATGTCAATAATTCTCTAATGTTGATGAAAATGTTCTGTTGGCAGATTATTTAATTTATAACGAGACATTTTTTATGTCTATTAAGTGAAGTGAAATAATCTAACAAGCTGAAAAATGATTCATAAGTTAGTTTTGTCCTCGTTTCAAGTGTCCAAAGATACCAGCATTAGAAACAGAACCAGTTGGTAACATTTTGTGTTTTTGCAGTGTACAGTCTGATTCCTCTGTGCATAACATGATCAAATATTTTCAGTATATATAACCTTGCAAAAGTATTAATATCCAATGAACCATTTTAAACAAATGCTCCCTTCAAAGTTCATGAAACAGTTTGAAATATTTGTTTTACTGTTGAGATTTTAAAGATATAATTTCTTTTTAAATGCAGGTCATGATAATCTGAAATAATTCAACTTAAATTATGAAAATGTTGATTGTTGTTATCCGGAAAATCATAATTTTGAAGAAATGAAAGCAATAAAGGTCATCTAAAGTTTACAGAACCCGACAGTGGTCACAAACAAAAAGCATGAAACATTTATTACTTAAAATAAAAACAAAAAGTGACTTTCAGTTGAAGTGCAAAAACAAAATATTACCAAGTCATTTTGTTTAATTTCCAGTGCAGAAACTTTGCAAAACTAGCCAACAAACAACCATTCAGTGACAAACATGAGTTTGTTTGGAATCAACATTAATTCCTTAATGTTGGTGAAAAGGTTCAACTGGCAGATTATTTCACTGATAAAAAAGGAAAAATGTCACATTATTAGTTCAATAATCTGCCAGTTGAACTTTTTCATCAATAGTCAGAAATGACTGACTTTACCTCGAATGTCTTGCTAAAAGTTCCTTGTAAGTTAGTTTTGTCTTTTTTTCAAGATATCTGCACGAGAAATTAGAGCAAAAATCCTTGGTAAAACTTTGTGTTTTTGCAGTGAACTGAAATGAAGGAGGGCGGGAAACTTAACTCGGGTATCTAACACAGACAACAGATTAAAACATGATGAGAACAACCAAAGAAACCCCCTACACTTATATTCTGTCCAACCACGATGTTTTATTGTGGGATTTAATGTGAAAGACCAACACAAAGCAGAAGAAAAGTAATTTCATAATAATCCTAATTTGTTGTGAACACAAACCTGAAAAAGAGTTATTTTTTAGCTCTGTGTTTCTTTTTGGCTCTGCTGAAGACAGGCTCCTCCACATCATGATGCTGCCGCCACCGCTGTGATGAGTTCAGAGCATCATGAGCAGATGGATACATCCACTTATAAGGTGTCAAATAAATTCATCGTTTTCCTTTCACTTCCATTCTGTGTTGATCCGTTACGTAAAATCCAAATATAAAACACTAAAGTTGGTTTTCGGTAGGAGTATTAGTACGTTTGCAAGGCAGTTTATAGTTTATTAAAAAAAGGAAACTTTGTGAAGTGTAGAAAATGCAAACAAAAAACTCAAACATGAAAAGTTAAAAGCTACAACCAGCAACCAGAAACTAAAGCAAGAAAGAGAAACAAAAGCTTCTACTGCTTCAGTCACTAGAACCGAGATTCATGCAGCACAACCTTCAGTTTCCACCAGTGCTAAAAAGAGCAGACGTCTTCTATAAAATCCTTTTTCATTTCAGATCACTCAGAAAAGACAAACTTGACATTTCTTTCACTGTTTCTGGAGTGTTGGTGTGTGTTGAGGTAAACATGAGAGCGCTTTCTTCTGCTGCTGATGAACCCAGGCTGAGATGAAGGATGTGGGGAGAGGAATCTACCGCCTACGCTGCGCCGCCTCGCTCTGCGCCGTCTGTGTGGTTTACAACAAGTCATCCTGCAAATGGAGCCCCTGCTGTGTGTGTGTGTCTGCGTGTGTGTGTGTGTCTGCATGCGTGTGCGTGGGTGTGTGTGGAGGTTTCTAGCATGTTCTGTGACTTGCAGGAGAAACCCTTTACACGTGTGGAGCTTCTCTTCCTGTTCTGCTCACAGACGGGGGTTTCTCCAAACATATGGAGTTATGCTGCAGCAACACACACACACACACACCCACCCACACACACACGCGCACGCACTCGCACCCCCCCCACACACACACACACACACGCGCGCACACACAGAGGATTTTTCACATTAAATGATTTGTTTGTTTTGGTGGGAAAATGGATTTTCTTGTGCCCTTCGTTTCATTCAGACAGACTTTCTGACAATGTTTTAACTTTAAGCTTGTTGGATAATGAGATTTCAGTCAAGCTGCTGCTGGCCACCCCCAACTCAACGTTTACACTCGCATGTGAAAATGGCTGCAAACAGACACACTACGATACAGCTGTACATCTTTGAAAATAATTAGTGGAGCCTCCTGCACAACAAGTAGTTTCTGGATGCAGTCAGGAGCAAAACTTGTTTTTTCCAGCAGCCATTGTTCAGGACATACAGCAGGAAAACCAGCTGACCAAACATGCTGGAGCTCAGTTTACGTTGCTAGGAAACGGACGGAACTCTTCTGGGGTTGCTAGGTAACGGACAGAACTCTTCTGGGGTTGCTAGGTAACGGACGGAACTCTTCTGGGGTTGCTAGGTAACGGACGGAACTCTTCTGGGGTTGCTAGGTAACGGACAGAACTCTTCTGGGGTTGCTAGGTAACGGACGGAACTCTTCTGGGTTGCTAGGTAACGGCCTGGAACTCTTCTGGGGTTGCTAGGTAACGGCCTGGAACTCTTCTGGGGTTGCTAGGTAACGGCCTGGAACTCTTCTGTGGTTGCTAGGTAACGGACGGAACTCTTCTGGGTTGCTAGGTAACGGACGGAACTCTTCTGGGGTTGCTAGGAAACGGACGGAACTCTTCTGGGGTTGCTAGGTAACGGACGGAACTCTTCTGGGGTTGCTAGGTAACGGACGGAACTTCTGGGGTTGCTAGGTAACAGCGTACTGCCTGATAATTTGTAACTTTATTCTGAAACGGCTCGTTTTCTACACACCAAAAAAACATGGACTTTTTGCTAATGGCCGTTATTTATTTTTTTTAAGCACTTGGTTGTTTTGTAGAAACTAAACTGGAGGAATGTAAATGTGCAAAAAGTTTTGGGTTTTTTGCCATTCCTGATTCCCTTAATGCTGATCGTTCTTCAAACTGTTTCAGGCTGGATTTTCTTTGGATTAACAAGCATTTCCTCATTTATTTTATGTTTTTTGGTGGAGCTACTTAGGGTGGAGGGATTGTTTTGGATTATTATAATTTTATTTTATTATGAAACAATTTTGATCTGCAGAAACAAAGCAATAAAAATAAATGTTACACCTAACAGAAAACCAAACAGGATCATTTCCACACTGAATCTTTGGGATCAGAAACTATTGTCCAGTTAAAACTCAGTGAACAAGAGAACATTTTCTTCCTTATTTCTTACGAGTTTTGATAAAGAGATTTATTTTCAGGTGCAAAGAAACGATACCTTCAAGACTAAACGTTAAGATTACATTAAAATATTGCAAGAAAGTCTGACTCTTTGGAAGGTGACGTGAAGAAATTGGCCAAAGTGCAGCAGAAATACGTCAAAATGTGTTTTTCTCAAACAAAGCAAAACAGAAGGACGGATAATAAAGTAATTAATAACCTAATGAAGCGGTTGTAGTGTTTGAAATGATAAATAAACGGATGCAGCGAGGCCAGCCATGCAGCCCTGCTCTCTGTTAGTTGGAAAAAGACAGCTGATTTATACCTCTGTGTGATGGAGAGTTTTAGTAGATAAAGAGATTTGAAATGCATCCACATCTTACCGACCGGAGGGCCTGTCCGCGTTTACATGCTTCAAACGTCTCTCAGGAGGGTGCATGCAAGCTGCACAGAAATACCCACAGCCCCCTCCCGCTTTCATGCAGCTTCTCAAACACTTTATTTTTATGTTTTTATTTTTTACCCCACACCACAGAGGTATAAATCCACCATTAGACGAGTCCCTACCCAATCAGCTTTACTCTTTTCCCCTGCGACCCCGCTAAGGCCCGCCTCCTGCAAGAGTTCAACAGCAAACTGAGAAGTCAGAGGCACACAGCAGCCCAGATTCAGCAAAACCCCAAAACATTGAACTGTCAAAGAGACCAGCATGCACCTCACACCGGCCATCTGTACAGCGATTCACTGTGGGTTTACAGGCAGAGGCGTCAATACAATTCAGAGAATCATGTCAGACATGGAGCTGAACGTGGAGCGCTTTCATTTTACAAACATCTGATGTGATTTACTTATTCAAGTGTAAAATAGAAAATCAATTCCATTTAAATAAAGTTGATAGGCAAAGAAAATTAACTGAGAATCGAAACTCAGTTTATTTAATAGTTAAATAAAATTGGAAGAACAAACGTTTTGCTGTTTGTTTTTTTTTATTATTTCAGTTTGAAAAAGAAAAGTTTATAGAAAATTTGAGAGAATTTCACATTTTGCTCTAGTTTTTAAAAGATTCTCATTATTGAAGCATAAAATACGCAAACTTGAAGGAGACTCATTTGATGACAGTTTTATGCTTTGGTTGAAATTTAAACCAAAACAAACTAAAATTAAGAACCACAGTTAAAAAAAAAAGTTCTTAAAAGGCTTAAAAAATAGCAAAATATCCATTTCCTACATCTTGAAGGAAACTGCAATCATCTGCAGCTCAGAATAAAAACCAAAACAATCAATCAGCTGAATAAATAATAAAAAATAAACCACAGATAAAATACATAGTTTAAATATAAACAAATTTCAAGACAAGTTAATATGTTTCAGATATTCACATTTTCAGGTTTGACTCCAACATTTTCCATCAGTTAGTTTTGTTTTAATCCTTTAATCCAGATTAGATTAGGGAAACTCAAACCTGCTTTTATTACCTGCTGAACATTCGTCACGTTTCAGACCAGAGTCGTACAAGAACAATACCGCTAGATTAAACTGATAAAAAGAAACTAATACGTATTAGTGAATTTAAAGTACAGAAAAAATAAAAGTATTCACTGATTTCTGAATTTAATTGTTGTTTACTCCACTGTTGCTGTAACCACGGCAACACGTTGACGTCTATTTCTCCGACCGCAAACCCAGAAACAAAATTCATGATTTCTGCACAGCAGAAAGGAGGGGCTGCAACTCTTTCCTGTTTATGTTTTTCTTAATCAGCTCCTTGGGTTGAATACGTTCACTCTGAGCCAGAGAGTTAGATGGAAACAGGTTGGGGAGGGGGGAGGAACAGAGCAAGATAACTTACGTAGTTGTCTCTCGCAGACCAGGTCGGGTAGAGCTGCATGTGGAGCTGTCTCTCTTTCCGGGCCAACTCGTAGTACTTGGCCTGCTCCTCCCGGGTCAGAGCGTGCCACTGGCAACAAATTCAGGTCAGGATTATATTTACTGAGCCACAACAGAATAATCTGCTTAAAAAATTAACAACTTGCAACCTGTTTCTCCAAAAAAGAAAAACATTTGCAATGACTGTTAGAATATTAATAAAAATCCCAAAAACAAATGCATGTTCATAAGTATCAATGTGCTTATGGAGCAGTGGGGCCGCCAGGGGGCGCTGTGGGGCCTCGGACAGATGGAGAGAAGAAGAGAAAAAACATGCAAAAATAATAAAGAATTTAATCCTATAAATTTTTCATATTTTTTTCCAATCATTTTTAAAATAAAATATGAGTTAATAATTTATTTCTCATTTTCAGACTGGCTGCTTTGCTCCTAAAGCTAGCATAGCAACAGCAAACAGAAAAGTTTCTGACAAGAAAATAACCAAAAGGACCGACTCTGAAAATAAAATGAAATTTGATTCATATTAATAAAAATACTACATATTTTCTAATCATTAAAAGAAAAGATTGTGTTAATTTTTTTATTATCTGGTAATTTCCATCATAATATATCTAATAATTAAATTTTCAGGCAACAAAATTCATGCTCAGTTTCAATCTGATGGTACGATTTATGCTACATGTTTGTGTTAATAATGAAAGTTAATAGAAAACATTCAAGTTGCTACATTTGCAGCTTTTCTGTGGTTTGCAAAGGGGGTCAGAGGTTAAAATGTTCAAGCAGATATAACTAAATGATGAGTTTATATTTGTGTCACTCACCCTTCGTCCCAGAATCTGATTGATAGCGGCGCTCTCCTTTAACGTGCACTCGGCGATGACCTTTGCCCTCATTTCCTTCATGTAGAGCATGAAGGCGTTCAGCGGCTTCTTGATGACGGGTTTCTTAGGCTCCTTCTCCCGCTTGACCTCCACCTGCGGCTTCCTGAAGGAGCGAGAACATAAACAACACTGAAAATTAAGATTTATATCAGAAACAGTCAAAACTTTAAAAAACAAGAAACAAAAAGAAACTTAATCACTAATGAGGGTTTGGTTTCTAGATTGTTTCTGTTGGTTAGTTATTTCTTTTTAAAATGTTTTTATTGTTCGCTTTTCTAGATGCACTGAGAGTTTTATAAACACATAGCAACGTCACACGAACAAGATCCCGCCCCCGGCTTCCTGCTGGGAGGCAAAAAGCTGCTTGCTAACAGTGGCTAGCATTGGTTTAGCTGTTATGTTTTCCACATAGCGCGCTAAATCTTAAATGTACGCCTGATATATAAAACAAATAGAGCTTTGCTACTAATTGTCAACACTATGACAACTAAATACGACAGGAGAAAGCTTAAATAAAAACATAGCGAGAGAGTCAGTTATGCTAGCTTGACTATGAGAACTTTAACATGTAGATGTGCTACAGAATTCTGGGTGTTTCGGTTCAGTTGAAAAATGGCGACCTAAACACAAAACACAATATCAGTTCAGCAGGTGTTAAAATGAGCTAATCTATTGAATTAATGAAACAGTTGTGATGAAGGAAGTCGGACTGACTTACATGTACATGCCTCTGTCGTACTGATCATGCTCCTGCTTGCCCGAAGAGGGCACTATAGCCGGATGGGGGATCCCTGTTGGATGCACGCCCGACGGTCCGAGCATCAAAGAGTGAGGGAACCTGGAGGGGTTGAAGCAAAACGAAGAAAAACAGTGAGAAGTGACTCAAACCTGGAGGTTTGGAGCAATGCATCGACTTACAGGCAGAGAGAACAGAGAGCGCTGAAGCAAAAGGCACTTCTGGCCAAGCAGTGAAAGCAGAAAAAGCACCATCTAACGTCAGAGTTAGGTTTTCTATCATACAAAAACAGTCATTTAAATTTGTTGTGTCTAAAGTAATCAAAAAGCAACTTTTAACAGCTTCTTTTGTCATTAAATATAATATTTTATGTCAAAATATAATAGTGTGTTAAATAATGATATATTATACTGTAGTTTGTCACCACTAGAGGGCGCACAAGTATTGTTTTTCAAAAGAAAGCAGCTGAAAGGTGAAGACTTGTTTTACAGACTGTTAACATTAGACTATGCAGATATATATATATTTCTTCTCTAATATTTGGTGTGAAAGGGAAACAGCTGCCATTGAATCAAAACAACACCGAAAGAGAAAACATCTAGACGGCGTGAAGCAGCTTCACAACGATGAGAGTGTTTCTGGTTTGAGTTGTTATGGAGTTTGGAAATAGAAATATTTGACCAAGGATTTTATGAACAAAGCAGTTTATAATGTTGTTATATGAGCTTTAAAAATATTCATTTATGCATGTCTAAAAACAAACCCATTTTAAAAAATAAAGCAACTTCATATGCTGTGCAAAGATATGTGAACAGGTTTGTGCAAAATTTTAACCATAAAGCATGTTAAATGTGTAGCTATATAGAGCAACAGACACATAAAAACACACTGAAAAAACACAAATCTAAAGTATTTTTGGTCTGTTTTCTACTGCAAATGCTTGAAATAAGGCTAAACTAACTTACAAGTCACTCTTCAGCAAGATATACTTGTATTAAGTAAATAATTCCTTAATATTGATGAAAAGGTTCTAGTTTGATTAGATTATTTCACTTATAATAAGAAGTAATCTACCAATGGAACCAGAAGTTTTGCCTCAATATTAAGGAATTAAAAGAACTGTAAAGCTTGTGAGTTTGGTTTGTCCACCAAGATATTTTCACCAGAACTTAGACCAGAAATAGTTGGGAATATGTTGTGTTTTTGCAGTGCACAGAGCCTAAAAGCAGCAGAATAACTTTTCATGAAGTTTGAGCAGCGATTAGCTTGGCTTGGCTCGGTTTGAAGGGCCCGTCCCGTTTACAGCACACCGCTGACAGTCTGGACCCGTCCTGCTCTGCTCAGATGTATTGGTTTGGTTTTTGGTGATGTGCTGTAAACAGGAGCCGGTTTGTCCTGGGCCGGTCCAGCAGCAGGATGCGGTACCTGGAGTAGGACGATGCGCTGGGGAGACCGGAGGAGTAGGGCTGCCTGAATCCACAAGGGGGCAGTGCCGGGTAGACCGGCTGGCTCTGCCTGCCGCGCACAGCAAGGAGACACGGCAGCAGGAGCTGCGTTTAGCTTCACACGTTACAGTTTGAGCCATTTACACTGACTGGATCCTGTATCAGGCTGTCAGGAAACCCGCCACGCTACAATGTTTCTGCATCGCTTCTGTCATATCCAGACCTTCGGAGCGCGTCAGTCATTTCAGCGCCGCCATTAAAAATGAGCGACATTAATCTGATAACTTATTGAGTGTTTATATTTCTAAACAGAACCGCATAATAAACATTTTTCATTTCAAACTGGACTCTGCTTGGACCACATTTCTGTACCGTTCAGTGATACCGCCAACATGACCGGTGGCGCCCTCTGCTGGACGGCGGCCAAACTACACCGCTAAAACTCAGGGGCGTCCAAACTTTGTCCCGCTCAAAAATAGTTTCTAAAACCATTGAATTAGGAAATAAAGTCTGAGCTATAAAACAGGATTTTTGTCCATGTTTAATAAATTAATTAAAAGCACCAAAGTCTGCTTTTGAGGAAAAGTTCTTCCTATTTAACATAAAACCACATTTTAAAAAAAATCCCAAAAATGAATATTTTCTATTGCATCAAACATTTTCTGTTATAAGAATATTTTAATTTGTAAACTTGGGTAATTTCTTAATGATTCTTAATTATAGTTTCATGTAACTAAAACTATAATTAATTAATAATAGTCTATAAATAACGTATAATGAAAGAGTACACATCAGACTTGAATGAAAACATATTTCTGTAAAAGCAGAGTGGATCTGCTGTGACGTAGCTGCTTCGTGATCCCAGTGGGAGATCGAGGGGAGAGACGGGCTTTGATATGCAGCAAACAGCAATCTCCCCAGATCTTCCCCTCTTCAGCTGCTTGATCCCTTCTTCAATCCACATCTCTTATCTATCATCACCATCATCATCATCAGGCACTTCCACTTTTCATCTCCTCAGGTCAGAAAACGGCTTTAATAACCAATATTTTAACACGGATTTGCAGCTTTGTCAACCGAAAACATTTATAAAATATTCCAGAAAATGTCAGCACCCTTTGAACTTTTATACATTTTGTCTCACTTTAATGCATTTCAACAGGCTTTCATTTGATGAACTAAAAAAAGAATAAACAAAAAGCATTCCCACAGCATAACTCTGCCACCACCATGATGGTTTCTGGTGTGTTCAGTTTTATGAAGTAATATTTAGATTTAGTCGGGATGTTTTCGAACTAATTGGATGTCAGCAATAATTAACTTGTGCAATACAGACATCTGTTCAAATAAAGGGACGGGGAATTATCTGGTAATCCTGTAGCTCAAGATCTGCAATGCTGGAGCATATTTTTAATTTATTTTTGATTATTTTGTTTTCATATTCTTTAAATGATAGAGCAATCTGGTTCAGGTTCAGTAAATCACGTTGCATTTGCTTGTCCTCCTCAGCATTTTGCGGTTTCTAATGATCGGCTTTTGTTTTATGTATTCATGAAGGCAGAAACGATGCATTTATTCTCCTCATTTTACTATGAAAGCCTGTTTTAGTAGCTCATGTTTGTACCTGACATGAAGTTTGTACCTGATTTTAAACCTTTAGAAGATAACAAGTCCAGATCCGGACTCATTTGTTTGTCTTCTTGTTTCAAACTGAATTGTTTTAAATTATGGCTTTTCTCTATTTGTTACCAGAGGCCTCTTGGCTGAGACGACCCACCCTGACGGTTAAAGTGGGCGGCCATTTTGGTAGGTTTTCAATTGATAATGAGTGAAACAAGCTGAAAATTACTTTTAAGTTAGATTTTTATTTCAATCAGACTAAGATTTTGTTCTAGAAACTAAACCAAAACTACCTGCTAAGATTGTATTTTTTTTTACAATGTGACTCTGCTTGTACCTTCCTGATCTGCCTGCTGGTTCACCAGCAAACCTCACAGTTCTCCACAGAAAGCTGAATTAAACTCACATGAACTCTATTAAATATGAACCTTCTGAATGAACCAGATTTTATTTTAGGAGAATTAAAATAAAAGAGTCTATATTTTTATTTTAATCACATATAAACAAAATGAAGTTTGTGTTTGTTGTAGAGTCGAGCATTTATCACAAACATTTCCTGTTAAGATAAAATAGTTTGGTTCTTTTCATAAATTTCTATTAATGATGTTAAAAAAAGTTTATTTAAAATTATTTTTACTACCTTTCCTATTTCTTGTTCCAAAAGAAGATCAATAAATAAAAGTTTGAGAATATGATCACTGTGTGCTGATATAAGTGACACTTTAAATAAGTTTTCCGAGAGCATTTTTTGTGTTTGCTGTCTCAGTTGAAAGATATGCAGTAAGCTGTTTTTTTTCACAAAAATTGAAATTGATGCATTTGAAAGGTGACAAAATATAAACATGTTAAACAGGCATGAAGACTTTTGCAGCTGATGTTTGGTAGTTTATGCAAACGCGCCTGCAGTTCTTTGAATTTCCAGGGATTTCAGTTTAAAGTTAGCTTTCAGTTCCAGTTATACTCCATCAAACTTTTGTGTTCAAACATAAAGCTGCATTCTGGAAAAAAGGATGAAAACAAACAACAAATCTTCATGGTGTGAGATGAACAGAAGCAATAAGCCAGCAGGCGATCGGGTTTTCTCTGAAGTCCCAGACTGATTGTCAACACGACAGAAAAATGACATTTCAGCTCTCCTCCTCCTTCAACAAAAGATCTACACTACAAGGACCTAAAACAAGCAGATAATCTGGAGTAAAGGAGATTATCTGCTAATAACACTCATGACAAATCCACAGTGAAGCGTCCTTTCTCTGAAGGAGATAAAATGCTTGTAGAAATGTTGGGGACAAATATTGACTTACAGAAACACAATAAATACATGTAATCACACATTTAAAGAGAAAAAACAACTTTCTTCTTAAATCTTCTTGACATTTGATGCGATACTTTAACTATTCCAGAGAGGATTTGAGATTCTGGAGGTTTGCTCTAAACGGATTAGTGTTGATCCATAACTCTGCAGCAGCCTGACATTATAGATCCACAATCACACTGCGTGACATTAAAATGAGGAGACATGGAGCAGATGTGTCTGTTTTCAGCTTCTTTCCGAGCAGTTTCAGGAAAATGCAACAACAGAAAAAAAAAAACAGATTTTGGTTTAAAGTTTCCATTTTGCTGGAAATCAACTGCAGCTAGAAAAGGATGGAAAATTCACATATTAGGGTAAAACTGGTCCATCACTTGGTTAAAACTGAGTCTGTTTCTGCTCCATTCCAAGGTTTCATTAGGGCAAAATCACCCAAAAATATGTTATATAGTTGTACATTTACTTGAAAAAGTTTAATTTACTAAAATGCAAAAAAAGAAAAACAGCAGGAAGGAAAGAAACAAGTCAGATGATTTCTGAATTACAGGTTTTAAATCTCTGGGCTGTTTTACAATTTTTCAAAATCTCATTTAGAGGAAAAAAAATGAAGCTGAAGAATAGTCTGTCAGGGATGAAATAGATCTTCAACTTTAAGGGTAAACTAGTTTGATATCTAATAAAATAAACAGATAATGTGGAAATGGAGAAAACTTTTAAAATAGTTTCAGATCTAGGAGATAAAATGGACATTTTCAGAATGTTCATCTTGACCCAAAAATGTAAATTCTTCATGCTAGTCAGTTAACTTTGACAATCGTTTCTCCGTAAGCGAATAGAAAATAAACATTTCTACAAAAAGAGTTGCTGCTTTATTTGCTTTTCAGCGAGTTAATTCCTCTGGGCTGAAAGACGTCATGTGATTTCTGTTTTCATTTATGTTGAGTGTCGTCAGGATGTTGACTGTCATCCGCTGCAACCACGTCTACTGTTTGTTCTTTTTAAAAAACATTCCTAACCGCAGAAAAATGTCTAAAAGTTTCATTTCATCCCATTGTTTACTGGTTTATGTTACCAGAAACCTCAGAAAAAACAGAGGAAATCTGCACATTTCTGCCAAATAAACCTGAGAAAAGTTTTTGGCATTTTATTTAAACATGGAACGAGTTATGAAACCAATGTGTGCGGCTCACCAGCTCATGGAGGGAGTGATCTGGCCAACGCCACCTGGAGGAAGGGAGTAGTACCCCGAGAGGTCCTGGGATTGGTGCCTGTGAACGCCTGGGGAAAAACAGAAACCGTCACACAGAGTCCCTCAGGCCGCCATAAAACAGCGGAAACGACTCAACCAGCGCTGCTAAAGGAGAAATTCACATGCTGAATGTTTTCTACTTCCATTTCCATCTCAACTGCTTCCAAAAACCACCAAACCGCTTTTTGGCAAACAGCCCCAAAAGCGGGGCTGTTACCTAGCAACCCAAGCTGAGCTCCAGCACATTTGGTCACCTGGTTGTAGCGCTGTGTGCTCTGTACAACGGCTGCTGGAAAACACCAGTGATTTGCTGATTTGCCATCCAGAAACAAGATGCTGAATTCCTATTGGTTGTGCAGGAGGCTCTACTGATACTTGTCAAACATTTTTAAATGAACGGAGATATTTCATTCTTGAACTATCCAAGAATAATTTTGTTAATGAACACACTGCAAACACACAAAATCCTACCAAGTTTTGTCTTGTTTTATTAAGGAATTCCTGAGTACTGATGAAAAGGATTCAGTTCACCTGGTGGATTATGTCACTTGTGACATGGAGGAAACATTTTGTTGTAAGTAAATCCTAAATCTCACTGACAAGTTAAATTGAAGCTTTAAGTGTATTAAGATATTTGTACTAGAAACTAAACAAAACAAACAAACAAACAAAAAAAAAACTGGTCAGATTTTGTGTTCTTTGCAGTGTTTTGTTGTTTTGTGGTTGATTTGCCATCCAGAAACCATTTGCTGAATTCTGGTTGGTTGTGCAGGAGGCTCTCCTAATGCTTTTCAAACATTTCTAAAATAGTTAATCCTGAATCAGTACAACTGCACAGACCTCGTCCCCTAAGGATGATTTTGTGAAATAAACTAAGATGGGCATGATTTTGTAGACCGCAGGTCATCTTTAAGTGGCTGCCATGATTGACCTTCCAATCAAAGGTCACGATGCGTCGCTCTGTGTGTCCGGGTGCATGTGGGGGAGGACCCTCCGCTGGGAGCTGCGGTGTCTGTGCCCACATTGTACAAACACACCCAAACATGCAAACAAACACAGACTCTTCATCTGTAGTTATGGCAGAGCTGCGCGCCAACAAAAAAAACGCAGACTGAGCGACTCTGTGCCCTCGCCCGGTAAACAGGCCACCTCTCTCCGAGCGTCTCTCTCCGAGCGTCTCCCTCCGAGCGTCTCCCTCCGTCTTTGTGCCCTTCAAAGGAAGTCATTTGTCAACAGGCGGCACCTAGCACTTAGCGCGGCCGTGCTGCTAACCTGTGTTTGCAGCAGAGGAATGCTGCAGATGACTGTAATTTGGCCGCGGCTCCGGGCCTGTCCCAGGACCCCGAGCTGCAATAAATCTGCATGACAGGAATGTGACTGAGTCAGCCGACCCGACCCGTCTCACCGCTCCGATCCGGCCGCCATTAATCCCCCCGATCGCCCAGCATCCAGCTCACCCCTACGTTACCTTTGACCTCTCCTCCTTCATTACAGAGCGCGGCTCGTTTGGTTCCTCTCTCATCTTCTTCATTCTTCCCCTTACATTAAGCTAACCTCTGCTCTGCCTCACCTCCACTTTATCAAACATTTCTTGCTAATTTAGTTTGTCTGGACACAGAAACTTGGCTTTTTGGTCTCCGACCAACACAAATACGACAATGGAGCTGGAAAATACCACCAGAGCTGAAATATTGCAAGAAAAAGTCAATAATATGAGAATAAAGTTGCAATATTGAAAGAATGACTGTAATATCAGAAAAAAGTTTAAATACTGTAGTAATAAAGCTACAATGTTACAAAATATGACAAAACACAATTACAAGTAACTTTTCAGAAAGATATAAGAGCTTATTTTAAGTTAATTGTTTCTTAAAGTGCTTATATTATTTCACTTATAGCATGTGAAAATGTCTTATTATCAATAAAATAATCTGCAAATAGAACTAGAACTTTTTCATCAATATTCAGGAATTATTTAGAAGAAAAGCTCACATTTTTTGTCAAAAAGTTATTCGTATGTCAGTTTCATCTTATTGCCTTTAGAAACCAGAACCAAATTATTTGGTGAGGTTTGGTGTTTGCAGTGTTGTGATGAAAGTTGGATGTAATTAGTTACATTTGCTTGAGGAACTTTTTTGAAGAAATGTATTTATTATGCTGAATGTTTACGTTTAACTTGAGTAATTTTGAAGTATTTCTGCTCTTATCGAGTCAAATTTCTGGATTTTCTTCCCACTGGATGGAAATCAAACCTGTTTCAACCCGAAACCAGAAACAGACTCAAACCTGCAGCTTCTGTTAAAGTTTCTCAAGTTTTTCCAAGTTTTTTATTGAAAGAAACTGATTTGGAAAACAATAATTTTGCCTGATTTTGTTATTCTTTGTTACTTATATGAATTAAAATATCAACATTTCTATTAACATTTATATGTTGGACCGTCTGATGATGTAATTTCAAAATGTTAAATGATTGATAACTTGAGTTTTGCTCCTTTTAGTCATTTCTGGACGTTTTACTGTTATTGAGTGAGTGGATGTTGAAGCCTCCTCTGCTTGTGATGCATCACCGGAAGTTATCCAGATATTGAGGCAATGAACTTTAAACTTTACACGAGTATCTCGCTCGCCAGCATCATAACTGAAATCCCAAAGCTGAATTTCGCCGGCGGAAACGTCAGGCCGCTTTCTGTAAGTTATGTTTGTCCCTCGTTGTCACCGGCTGCTGTTGGGAAACCAGAGGGGAAATTAGCAGCAGTAATGGGGCAGTTTTCTTTGGAATGCCCCTTTTTCTTAAATATGCGATCGTACCCAAACAAGTGCAACTATCTCACGGCCTCGGTGTCGGCGTCTGGGGAACCAAATCAAAGGTGGCTGTTTTGAGTCAAACCGGGCCGCCATCAGAACGCGTGCGTGTTAAAACGAGAGGAGCTGAAAATAGTATCGCAGTGCCGATAATGCGCTGCGGTGGTTCTAACCACTGAGAGTGAAAGCGCTGCAGCGTCTGCGCCTTTAAATGACTCGTCACATGAAGCAGCGACGCGGCTCTTACTGTAAGGCGGGACTTTAAAAAGTTACTTTTACTGAGAGCGCAGAGCGAAACTCACAGTAATAATACAAGTGTTTTACAGTGTAGCGCTGAAACAAACTTTTCATCTGTTTTCATTTGTAATCGGCCGTTTCACTTCTCACTTTTTTGTTTTTAAGTGAAATGAATCCCACTCCTGCTTTTAATTTGAAAAGTGAAAGTAAACACACAAGGATCCTTTTTGAATGTTTAACTAACTTGTTATATATTTAACGATTAAATTAATCAGATAAAATTTGACACATACAATACATTAAAAAATTCAAATAAACTTTATTAATTACTTTAATACTCAAATTGCAATAATATTCCTTTAGTACATCTGATACAAGTGATGCTAAAAATGCCACTTAAAGAGTTTTAGCTAAAACATATTTGCAAACGATGTTTTTTAAATTTTAGATGAAAATGTATATTTTTTGTGCAGTTTGGGATTAATTATTGACCTGAATATGTTGCCTCTGAATACTCCAATTAGTTGTTGATCAATTACTAAATCAGTTGACAATTATTTCAACAATCGATTAATTAACCTAATTTTTATATGTATTGCCTATTGATAGTTTTTTGGTCAGTGTTTCCCATCAGACAAAAGTAAGAGAAAACCAACCAACATGGACATTCCCAAAAGTATAATACATTTTCTATTAAAAATTATAGTTTTTTAAAATTTAAGTTAAGTTTCAATAAATATAAAACTCATACGAAGTATATATATTACATTTTTTCAAGCTTTTATTTTTGATTTTTTCAATAAAGCCTACAGTTAAATTCGTCATATATTAATAATATTGATTGTCTGGATAAACAACAAGCTGCAGAAACCCGCAATAAGACGGTTAGTCATAGAATCACTGGAAATGAAGCCAGCTCACAAAGTGCTGTGTCTGAACAATTGCTTAGAAAGTTAAGTGGAAGGAAAAACTGCATGGGAAAAGGAGCACCAACAACAGTGACAATAGCAGCCTTGACACTTGCTAAAAGTGACAAAAAACAAAACATTTTGTGTTTGTGCAGAATCATAAACAGATTGTTTATAGAGAAGAGTGAGGTTTGTGTAGTTTTTAGTTGAACCAAATTGTCACCTGTGGTCCTTTCTTTGATTTTCATAACAAGTTACAGAAATGAGTGAATCTGAAAATACCCCCAAATGCACCTGCAGTCTTATAAAGTTGTTCACACTTTTGCTAACACATTCAGGTCTCTACAGCAAACACAGACGTGTTTCACTTCTGCTTTTTCACTTTGTATTTTCTAATCTGTTGTCCGACCAACAGTCATAGCCAAAAACATCGGCACAAAGTGATGCTACATGATCGAGTGAGAAGATGTCAGCGCTTTGAATCACTCGTGGCTGCAGAAAGGACCAGCTGGGTCAAATGGTGTCAAAAGCAACCTGTCAGGAGATCAGCATGAACTCTGCAGTGAGGCGAGGAAAATTTCACAGAACCTGGAAGAAGCAACTGAGGAGGTTGTCACTGAAACATGCAGGATGCTGGCCCACCAGAACCCACTTTGGGCACCACTGCTACAAACAGTGAGGCAGGTTCTGTAACTCGTCCTACATCAGATCTGGAAGGTTATTGGCGGGAATAAGGGAGAAACAAACGACAAAGCCCAAAGGGAAAAACGATGAGGGAGAAAGTCTGGATGGATGTGAGAGTGAACGCCGTTGGACGCACTTTGCAGGTTCAAAGTTTCTTCAGGAAAATGCTTAGAAATAAACAGTGGCATGAAACGGTGTTTAAATGTCCAGACAGCAGTCACTGCAGGTTACGCTTTACAGCTACTGTTGGAATATAAACGCATTCAGAAGAAATGGGGATGTTCACTACCGGTCACCTTCATGCTGAATAAACGAGATGGACGGGAGGTGGGCTGCAGGCCAGGACCCATTTCTTGTGTTATTCCAGACTCCTTTTGGTTTTGGAAATGTAATAAATTGCTTTCCACCCTCTGCACGTTCTGGCTGACGGCTGTCGGGGTTGTACGTTCCCCACTGAAAAACTCAGGTCGTAATTATCCATTGTTTTCCTCAAAATCTCTCTGACCGCAGCGTGTTTGCGATGATGAACACTGTCAGTCCTGTCAGAGGTCAGCTCCTCTGGATAAGTGACGGTCGCTGAGAAATCCCCTGAGACGATTGGGGCAGGATCAGCATGGGGCGGACGTGGCGTCATGTCAATTATCAACACCACCAGATAACAAGTTCAGAAAAAAGTTTTAATTGAAAAGAAACAGCAAAGTAGCTCAGTTATGCTAGCTTGACTTTGAAAAAATCAACCTAAACAACAACTCTGACAGATATTAGACATAGTGATAAATCACAGCTACAGTGTAAAATAATCAGATTAAATCTTTTAATCGAGTGACAGAAACATTTTATGCACAGCAATAGTTTGTTTACATTATAGAAGACGTTCCTCTGACTTCGCGCCTTGGGGCTGAAGATAAATCAGTAATAAATAGACACTGAAACGAATTATTTACGTAAGTCAATATAGTTTTGCAAAGTATAATGAAACAATAATTGTGCCTAATTTCAGAAGCATGACCACAGATTTCTGATAGATGAATTTAAGGTGATAATAGGGGCCGTCGATGGGAAAAGTGGGGCGAGTTTAGTAAAAATGTCACAAAGGGAGTTAGATGATGCATGGCTGAAAACAGACAGTGGGTGGAAATGGAAATAGCACAGGAAGCAAGCCGCACACTGAGAATAAGACGAGATCCTAACGAACGAAGTTAAAACGAAGACAAACTGGTGACTTTCAGAGGAATTTAGAACAAATCTGTCACTGGCCACACGATGCATATTATAGCTTTGATTCAGTATTTATCATCATCATCATCATCATCATGATGTGGCCCAACCACACCAGAACTGTTTTACTAAAACATGTGTGGACGTTATGAGCAGCAGGAATAAAAAATATTTCTGTTATAAAATAAAAGTAAGAGTCCAGAATTGCAGCCCAACTAAAGGTAGCTAACATTGTGTTATGCTAGCAGCTGCTAATCATGAGGTGAAATGCTAACATTTGCTAAAACAATAGCACAAGCATGTTAGCTATCAATTTCAAATGGTGTCTACTACACAAAGTTAGAAAATTAATGGCAACATTTTTGTTTTTATCTACAAACTAATCAATCAGATTTCTGTATAAAATACAATAACAAGCAATTCCTAAGTGTTTCAGGTTGATCGTCTTCTGTCTACACTTTATGACTCACTCGCTGAATTTTGCTCAGGTCGAAATCACAGCATGTTGTTCATGTCACTATTAAAATAAATTACATTTGAAACCAATTCAAGCCGGTCTTAAATTGTGAATGAGGGCCACCCAAAATCACATCGAGGGCTGCAAATGGCCCCGGGCCGCAAGTTAGACATCCCTGCTATAGCTTGTTCATGGAAGAATAGTAGTGAACCTTTAATTATTCCAAATCAAGTCATCCTCTCCTGGTTTCAATCCTGGCTGAGCCCAAGTAGAAAGGTAAAGGTGTGTTGGAAGAAATGACCTCACAGGTGAGGCGATCAGCTGACAGGTATGAGGTAAGATGAGCGTAAAACGCTGAGCGGTGGGAGCGGCCAGGTGTTGGTGGATGTGTGAGGTAGAAGCAGGTGTCTCAGTCTGTCATTAAGACTGAGTCACGGATCCACCATCGCTTACAAACACACACCACACACCACACACAACACACACCACACACAACACACACACACACACACACACACACACACACACACACACACACACACACAGAAACAGAGTCTAGACCAGACACGGAGCGAGTGTTTGGAGGAAAACGGGGATTTCCAGCCGGAGAAGGCGGAAGATTACCGCAGTTTAAACTGGAGCAACGCAGGACAAAGCTGCCATTCTTCTGACAGCTCCCTGTTAGTGAGCTGCAGATGTTATTGTTGCTTCTTCACATACGATAAAAGTGTGAAATGGAGGTAAAATGATTCACAGATTTCAATAAGTAGAACTGAAATGTGTGCACTGCAAAAACAAAATCTAACCAGATGTTTTTAGTTCAGATTCTAGAGCAAAATCTTAGTAGAAATAAGACAAAACTAACTTTCAAGAAACGTTTCAGCAGGAAATATGATTTTGTTTGAAGTCAATAATCCCTTAATATTTATATAACATGGGAAAAATGTCTTTGGAAACCTATGTATATTTTTGAATTAAGCCTATTTGCAAAAAGCAATTAATCAATTAATTGTACAATAATTTAAAATGAACTTAATTTCCATTCTGATGATTAATTCATATTTTTGAAGAGTTATTTTGTGTAGAAAGACTTCATAATGCATGTTATCTAAGGTTTAATTAACTATTTTTGTGTTTTATTTTTGATATTTAAAACATTGTCCAGTTGCAGTAAGAAGTGCTTATTAATCTTTAGAGGGAAAACTTGCATTTTCATGCCAATAACAATATATTACTAGAAAACGTCTCAAAACAACAATATAATTGTTTATATATGTGGCAATTTATCATCCAGCAGAATTTGTTTTCCATCCACTTCACATTTTTGATTGTAACATAAAAAATGTTTCATGTTATCTTTGCAACTCTGACTGCCCTGGATGGTAATTTCTTTCATTCAGTGAAAGAAATTATGGAATCTATTTAATATCATCAAACTTTACCAATATTCTGCTAATGTTGGAAAATGTTGCAAAAGTTGTGTTTCCATTAAATAAAGAAAGCAGTTAAAATAAGTTTGTTCATGCAGTAAATCATTAAAAGACAACCACTTCCTGTTGTCTTTTTCGTAGTTTCTAGCAGTGGTATTATCCAGTTGTGAACATGTGACTCATGATATGAAAAAGTGGTTTCCATTGCAGTTCTGCAAAAAAAAAGTTTATTTTTTAATAAAACTCCCAAAAACATCACATTTTAGGGAGTTTCCTTTAATTGTGTGTTTCCATTAAGATAATTTATTTTCAGAATGTTAAATTTCTCACATTGGTATCACATTTCCCTAAACGTTCAGCATTTTTGTTGATCCTCCAAAAGTTTTAATTTTCATAAAATGCCAACAAGTGCGTGCTCAGGCCGTCCGTAAGCGCCTGTCATCAGCAGTGTGGTTCCTGCACTTCATTAACAAACCACAGCACAGAAACAAATAAACACCAATCATAAAAGTTATGTTTTAGTTTCATTTCACTGGAAATGAACCAACAGTCGATCCGGTGCCAACATGGCTTTCTTTTTCCTACTCACTCGCAGGAAGTAACTTTTAGATGTACGTATTGGATTATTCTATTCTGTGTGACAGAAGTAGAATAAATAGTGGATGTGGAGGTTAATCCTCACAGGATGCACTGCAAAAACACAAAGCCTTAGGACACACTTGTGGTTTTTTACCAGCAATAATAAATAGAATCAGCAAACATTAAATCATATAAAGGCAATTTATAACAGCAGGATTCCATCACATCACTGTAAAAACACTAAATCTTACCAGGTATTTTTGTCTAGTTTGTAGAGCAAATATCTGAGTTCACTTGAAATAACACAAAACTAAATTACAGGCAACTTTTCAGCCACAAATATGGGCAATTATTACTATTTGCTCCTGAAACTAAACCAAAATGATTTTGTGTTTTGCAGTGTGCATTGACTTCAGGAAAACTGTCAAATTGAACCTAAAGATCTGAAAGAAATTGATCTAAATACATTAAAACCATTAAAAACAGCATCAGTTCAGGCTGAAGCTCCAGCAGCGACGAAATGTCTTCCAGAGTGCAGCGCTTGCTAAGGAGATCCGTGTGTGAGCTGCTGTGATGGTTTCTACGATTGTCACCCTAATTGTTTCCATCTTAGCCTGTGTGTGTGTGTGTGTGTGTGGGGGGTGTGTGTGTGGTTGGCAGTCCCTTCAGAGGAGCAGGCCACTTCAGAGCCGCTGTGGGATTGTCAGGCTTAGAGATGGTGCTGCCACTTCACACAATGTGTGTGTGTGTGTGTGTGTGTGTGTGTGTGTGTGTGTGTGTGTGTGTGTGAGAGAGAGAGAGTGTATGGAGACAATCAATGTGTTATCTTACACTGTGTGTGTGTGTCCACATCTGGTAAAATGACAGCGTTGGAATATGTGCGATCTTTCCAGCAGATGTGATGAATAATTTGTTAACAACACAAACAGAACGGATGTCCAGACTTTATGGCATGGGGCCAAATGTCAAGTTAAAAGAAACTCACAGCAAATTTAGTTTTTTTTCTTTTTAAAATTCAAACATAACTGCAAAAACTTTTTCTTATTTTTACCAGTTCAAATATAAACTAAATGAAATAAGGAAAGTAGTCGGGTTTCTGTAAATCGTTTTAGATTTAAAACATAAAATCTAAAACAATTTTCAGATTCGTTTTAGACTTTATGTTTTAAAATCTAAATCATAAAATATTAATTATTGTTAATTAATATAATTAATATTTTAATTTGAAATATTGATCAAAAAGCTAACATTTTCTACATGTTTCAGGTTGATCATTTTTTATCTACATTCCCCACATTACTTCCACCCAGCTATGCTGATTATTGCTTTGTTTTACAAGATATACCCAACGTATTGTCCATATTGTTTTCGTGTTTATAAATCTGTTTATTATTCATCTTTCAAACGAGCCGTTTACGTCGGTTGTTGGTAAATTACTGCGCTCCATTTTTCTCCGAGCGACGCTTCGCTAGTCAGAATGAGTTCGGAGAAAACTCCAGAGGCAGCTGGTTGAATGCATTTTTTGAAAGCATTATCTTCTGTTGAGTGTGTGTGTGGGTGTGTGTGTGTGTGTGTGTGTGTGTGTGTGTGTGTTCTCACCTGTCTTCTGGCTCATGTCTGTGGGCAGGTGAGGAGGACTGGGGCTGAAGTGGTCGTTGCTGTAGGGCAGCAGGGACGTCAGCGGGTGCATCCCGTGGGATTGCTGAACCACAGACACTTTGTTGGACTGTTGACGGAAACACAGCCACATAAAACACATTAAGTTGGATTTAGTAAAATCATCAAAATGGTGATAATTATTCAAAAATCTACATAAATTGTTTCTTTTCTGAATATTTAGCTAAAGTCCTGTTGCAGCGTGATGTCACACACGCTGCTTGCTAACAATGACTAGCATCAGTTTTAGCTATCAAGTTGTCAACCTCATGTGCTACATCTTAAATATAAAAAAAGATGGATACAGTACTTTGCTACTAGTTGTCAACACTTTGACAAACTAGATAACAAGGTCAGAAAAAAATGTAAACAAAAAATAGCAATGAAGAGGGAAGTAGGTCAGTTATGCTAGCTTGACTATGAAAACCTTCACATTTAGATGTTCTGCAGGATTTTGTGTGTTGGTTCAGTTGATAAAACTTTAAAGAGTTGTCCTAAACACCACCTCTAACAGGTCATCAATACAGTAGGAGTTTAAATTAGCTAATCTACCACCGCTGTGTTAGCTTAGCTAATAGCAGCATTAGCTAATAGCAGCATTAGCTAATAGCAGCATTAGCTAGTCTATCAGCTGTGTTAGCCTAGCTGATAGCAGTGTTAGCTAATCTACCTCAGTGATCACTAATTAATAATCAGGACATAAACATGGAGCCTGAAAACATGAAACTGTTTCAGACTGAATATTCTGGTTTTAGTTTTTTGTGTTGCATTTCCAAATGTCTGCATTTTCTTTGGTTGTTATGGCAACGAGTCCACAGAACGAGAAAAAAGTGGTCTTGACTTATTTTTCAACAGTTTTCTGCAATATCTACCCTCTGCTGTGCCACGTTGCACTGAATTAATAACAGCTTCATCTCCAGGTTTGATTTAGTTAACAGTTTTATGGATGGAAAAAAAAAGATTCGTCTTTTTACCCTTCAGCGTCCACATGTGTGAAATTTCCGGATTTCAATAATAATATGAAACGGGTTTATTCTTCTTCCAATCATAAAAACAAGGAGTCAACAGTCACTTTTCGCTCAAGCAACAATTAACTGTTTTGAAGCTGAGGTAAATCAAAGGACAAAACTGATGTAAAGGGAAACGTAACTTCATCAGCGTAATGCGACGCGTGTGCAACATTTCCTTGAAATGAATGCAAGAAGCATCAGACATGAAAAGGCTTAAATCTCAATTTCACAACCACAAAAACAACACAGAACAACCAAAACCTGAAACTTCAAACAACAGGCAGAAATCACACACTTCTACCCTGATACATGGGACAAAAGGAAAAGCCTGGATATTTTAAACATGCCTTGGAAAAAACCCAAATGGGCTGCACTTTGCTCTCGCTTGTTTCCAGGGGAGCATGGAAGAGGAGGAGAAACGGAGCAGGAGGAGGACCGTCCGATCGATAAGCCTTTGATGATCAAGTGAGGCTGCGTGCGAGCCAGTTTGCTTTCATGTTTCTGTTTACAAATGGCTCTCAATAAGTTATGTGAGTTCTGGTTGCTGCTAATGCTCTCGGCATGGTGGCCGACATCCGATATGTCGCAGCGGTTTGCAGGGTTGGAGGCGTCCAGGCCGCTCTGGCGCAGAATCATACCAACTTAGCGGTGCGAGTGTGTCTGCATGCTTGGCTCATTGTTAGAAACATGCATGTTTCAGCGTGAATAACGAGGTGACACTCAGAAAAGACGAGGATTTTTTGATCCACATGAACATTTCTCTGAAAACGTCTTCTATAATCGGAGATGGACGGATGTGGGTCCATTTGCATTAAGCAGCACTACAGAGCGGCAGATCTTGGTGCAACCTGCTGGGCCTCCTGCTGAGTTACAAAGTGAATACCTTATCACTTAAAGGCAGAGCTTCCACACACTGCACCCACATTAACACACACACACTATCCATCAGCATCTTAAAGTCTTACTCTGACCAAACTCGCAAACAGAGACGGACCCTCTTGTGTATGCCACACGACGAGCGGCTGGAGAGATCAAACCGCCGAGCCGCGTTTAATGTTGAGACACGTGAAAACAAAACGTGCCGGCTCTTGTGCCGGGTGTGTGAGACGGAGCAGCAGGTAGCACGGGGGCCTGATAAGATGGGCTGCATTCTTAATGATCTGAAGACATGAAAAAGAAATCTCAGTTTTGAGAAGATGTAGAGATCCTGGCAGAAAGAGCTGGTTCATCACAAAGTTTCTCTGCGCCGTAAAGGAGAAGCTCAAAACGGGAGATTATGACTTCATTAATAAGACAGAAGGAGGGGTTAAAGTTGCAGTACTACTCTGTTCTGCAGTTATGGTTGTTACAATAAGCAATACATCAATTAATCACATGATAAATAAAGTAAAACTCAATCATTTCCATCTGCATGATTTATTGTTTTTTACTTTCTTCCAAAAACTGGATGATAAAAGTCTCTGCTTTTCTTTGTATGTTTTGTTTATTTTCCATGGATATTTAAAATGTCTTCCAGATACAGAGTTAAATGTTAACTATAACTTAAAGTTTATTAATATTTAAGATGTGTATTTTACTTAAAAATGGTCTCGAAACAAAGACATTATCGTTTATCACAATTACTTTATGGACCAGCGACATCATGACAGGCGATAATAAAAAGTCGTTTCTCCAGACATTTTGTTAAGTTGGTGGTTATCATAACAACCGGTAACTAGCTCCTCCCGTTTCCGGTTGTCGCCTCTGATGGTGCCGTAAGTTGTGTTTTCTTTACAAGTATTATATTTTATCATATCTTTTACAAGAATGTATTCATATGTAGTTTTTCATGAGTAATTTGTTTCTGTTTTGAAATTTATTTTAGCATTTTTAATGTTTTGCACTTTAGTTTTGTTTAACTTTACAAATGCTAACTGCTGTTAGCTGCGGCTAGCCGCTCATTAGCAGCTCTTGATTTGTCTAAATAACTTAATTTCCTCTTGTTAAAACACCTGACATACTTTATTTGCATTTACTTACAGTATTCTATCCAGGAAAGAATAAATAATGTTTTTTTTTTTTTTTTTTGCAGAATTACTGACATTTAGCAGGGAAAATCCCAAAAACTGCACAGTTTGCATCAGCAGACGGTAAATGTGACAGTAAATGTTTCATGACATTAAAATCAAGCAGAAGCAGGAGTTGACAAAAACTTTACATGAACTCACATGATCTGAAGATTAGATAGCAGCATCAGTATTTCACAGACACGACCACAGAATATGAAAGTGCGTGAATTTCTTGACTTCTGAGCATGTGCTGCAGGAAGGATGCGTGTTGCACACACACATCTGCTGTGGCTCGGCTTCACGTGCTGAGGTCGCTCAAGACGTTTTGCTGTAACATTATAGCCACAAAATCGTCCATTTATGTTTCCTCTCTTCCTCGGGGTAATTAGTCCGCCTTGAAGTGGCTTTCGCTGTGCCTTCCTTTTTTTTTTTAAACACACACACTCAGAGCCTGACTGAGCTCACTCATTTAACCCGTAATTATCAACCCCTCTGTGTTTAAGAAAAAAATTCCCCTTTTTCAACCCCCCACTACACACATAACTTACACATAATTACTTTTGGTACAATAGACTAGTGCTGACATGCACGTGGGACACACACACACACACACACACACACACACACACACACACACACACACACACACACACACACACACACACACACACACACACACACACACACACACACACACTGAATAACACTTGCACTCCCTATGAATCATAAACCTGCAGTTTCTTAGATGATAAGAGTGAAAATTTACACCTATCTTCAGGCGCACACTCATAAAGAGATGAGAACTGGTTCAGCAGCCCTTTAATTTACAGCAGATGAATTACCCACCCTGCAAGGCTGACATAAATCACCAGGGCAGAAATTCACGGAACAAATCAATAGAAAATCCAGTCAAATGTCTGAAACTTCACGTATTTAGCAAAGAACTCACCAGATTCCTCAGTAATGAGTAAATCTCAGAACATTTCTGCCATTAACCCTTGAAAAGGCAGTTTTCACTCATTTCTGACAAGGAAAACATTTGCTTTGATGCTACATTTCATACAGTAAGTCACATTTAAAAATGGCATTGCATCTAAAACTTTATGTCAAAGAATTTAAAGTTGGCCTGATTGTTTCTAAGCTGGTGGGGTTCCTCAGGGCATAATTCTCACAACCATTTTATTCAACATCTATACGATCGCCCTGCTCAGATTATGGGTTACTGGAACATCTTTTAGCAAATGCTGATGATGCGCGACTTTATGCAGGCTCAAAGTGACTGAGTAAGTCTGTCCATCATGTTACTCAGATGAAATCAGCAGTTCTGTTCACACAGGTCTTGATGCTCGATTTGTTCATAATATCTGTGCAAGTCTGACCAGAAGGAATCGCTGCCATCTTGGTAGGCGAGTGCAAAGCACAGATAAACCACAAAAAGACAGTATCTGGACACTCTTGACCAATGTCAACAAAATGACCAAAACGTACCAAGATGGCTGTCAACTACAAAGTTCTTGGAAGTGTGACATCACAAGAACAACGCATTGAATCCGACCGCAGGGGGTTTTACTGATAGAAAACATATCAATAAAACTGTTGAGGTCAGTAAAATGGCCGCCGCCCTCTATGGATTGGTTTTATTAACATTTATCAAACCACATACTGTGTTGTGTTTCTATTGATTAGCTCAATTCAAGTTATCAGCACTGCTTGTCATTGTTTATGTCTGGACTGAATGTTGATTGAGACTCAATGAGGCTAAAAACCAAAGAATATGAAAACTTCAAATACTCACATTTAGATTTTAACAGCCAATTAAAGTCTTTTGGTTAATCAATAGAACCTTAAGACATTTCCAGAATTCGTCGATGCATAATCTTGAGTCTGAAGACATTTCAGACTTGTTGGTCGTGTTTGAAATCAAACCAGAGAAACACTCCTTTCAATCAGGACAAAAACTTTTTTACAATGTTAAAACGGACCATGCATTTAATGTGATGCTTAATTTTTGT